AAATGTAACCAACAGAAAAGGTAAGTCTGTAGCTATTCTGCATTATTTTCCAGGTCATAACTTAAAGCTGTCATGAGAAACAAAGTTACACTGCTTTTACATTTTTTTTTTTTTTTAATTACAAATCCTGGGATTTGCTAATACATGTTACACATTGTCAGTGAACTGTCAATCTTGGACACAGATGGAAAAACTGGCAAAGCTTACATATCAACTATTAATCTACTAAAACAGAATTTATAACCAGTAAACATCCTATAAAACATGCATTATCATACAGAAAGTTATGTTTCATTTCACTGGTATCAACCATAAAGTTTACATATTTGAGAAAAAGCCACTTTGCTTCTCTTTATACTAAATCAACTATAAAATTACTACATACTCAACATACACAATTTCAACACATCTGATAGTGTTTTTAAATATAAAATAAAATATCAGATGTGTCGTGTAAATATGTCTATTTAATCTCTTTGACTTCAGCTCAAATCCTGCTTTGGTCACAAATGTAAAAGAGTCTAGTGATCTCATCCTTGTGCCTACAAGGGATGTTTGTGCCCATTACAAAACCACTACACAATATGACTCTCTTCTCAAAAGAAGAGTAAGACATGAATAGCAGGAAGTGTGTCAGTCAGGAAGAGACTATGACCAACTACAGCCAACAAAACAAATGTCATTTTCAAAAGCATGAAGATTGTCAGCAAAAGGATTAGAAATAATTCAAGGAATAAAGGAGCAACTTTTGTCTAAATGTCTGAACAAAGCTGAGAGAACGTGATGTTATAGCCACATTTTCTTACACAGTATTTTTAAGTTTTATCTTAACACTGAAACACTAGCAAAAGAATAAACAGATGTAAAACAATACTAATGGGATGGATTTCGTGAAGGATCCCAACACCGGCATATATCAGTTCAACAAGTTCTAATGATAGAAAACAGTTTCAGGCCTGTAATGTGATCATGGTAGGGAGAGTTCACCTGAGCTGTAAACTGTTAAAGGCTTCCTTAGCAGAGCTGCTCAGCTAAAGTCAAAAGCCTGAGCCTCCAAAACTGTCACATAAGCACATCCTTCCCAACAGTTCCCCTGACTGTGTTTTTAAAATAAACAAAACGAAACCCACTAATCCAACACAGGATGAAGAGAGAAAGCAATTTGCAAGAAACGATTCACCTCTTCTCCCAAACCAAGACACTTTAAGGAAAAGACTTTAAGAGGAGTCTCCTCTTCTACAAAGACCATTTCACAGATTTTTTTTTCCCCTAAATATATTGCCTGAGTCAACATAATCTTCAGAATATATGGCTTTAAAATTTTGAAAATTGAAACAGCATTTCCATTCTATCTTTTTGGTTAACAAATGTTAATCCAGTTGAAGCTAACCACTGGACAGCTCACATACTTTCAACACATATATTCATTTAAAATTCCCCACTATAAGATTAATCACAGATAACTTCAAAGAACTCTAAAAAAACCCAAAAAAATCTATGTTTAGTCTACTCTGCAAAGTAATAGGGTTTAGGCAGGCTTTAGTCCTATCAGCTTATTACTAAATATTCTCTCTCATAGCAAGATTTTGTGAACTATTTGAATATTTTGCTAACCATGTAAGTGATGCATTGCTCATTTTCACTTGCAGACCCCATATTTCCAGAAATCCTGATTAACAAAGTACTTCTAACCCTGTGAGCTGCATTTGCGTGGTGGGGTTTTTGGTAGTGGGGGAAGGGGCTACAGTGAATAGCTTCCTCAGCTCCAAGTCAGATCCGCCTCTGGCCAGGGCTGAACCAATTAGTGACGGTGGCTGCACCTCTGTATTGAAGAAGGGGAACCTGGGAGGGAGTTGAGACTTGTGAGGAAGAGTTACGAGGACACCCGTGTGAACACCCAGGTCAGTTGAAGGAAGGGGTGGAGGTGTGCTGGAGACCCCTGTATCCCATGGTGAGATGGCAGGGTCGCACACCCCTGCCACCCCATGGAGATCCACGGTAGAGCAGAGGCTGACCTGAAGCCCATGGAGGACCCCACGTGGAACAGGCAGCTGTACCCAAAGAAGGCTGGGACTCTGAAGGAAGAAGCAGCCCCCACTGTTGTAGTTTGGTGCTGGGAGGACTGCAACATGTGGGGGTGACCCATGACAGGGCAGCATGGGAACAGCCACATCCCGTGGGAAGGACTCACACTGCAGGAAGAGGGGAGGAATGTGCAGCTTTCACCCTACCTCCCGAGAAGGAGTGGCAAGCTGACTGTAACCCCCATGCCCTACCTGCTGCACCACTGGTGGGAAAGAGCTAGGGAGGTTGGGAGCAGGGCTAAGCCTGGGAAGAAGGGAGGGCTAGGGAGAGGTGTTTTTTGGATGTGGTAATACTTCTCACTGTCCCACCTTGTCTGATACGTGTTGGTTTTGTTAGTGTTTGAATTAATGGGATGTACTTTTTCTTCTTCCCCTAATGAATCTGTCTTTTTGCCATGACAGTAATCGGTGAACACCTCTCCCTGACCTTATCCAAATTCCTGAGCCATTTTGCTTCATTTTGTCCTTCTTGTTCCTGAGAGGGGAAGGAGCGAGTAAACGGCTGCATGGTGCTCAGTTGCCCTCTGGGCTCAAACCATGACACCCTGGTTTCCCAAACAGTTATATATATACAGAAGAGACAGACCAGTAAATTTAAACCACCTGTTCACTTCAGAAAGGAGAAAATACAGCTATATCCAAATGTACATAGATTCTTGAGTATTTCTTTCAAAAAGTTCCCAAGATTCCATGGGAAAACTTGAACTAATATAGGATTAAGTGATTTAGTAATAAGAGCAAAGGAAAACGAGCAAGTCTATCTGCTGAACTGTGTAGGTTAAATGACCATCTAAAAGCATCTGTAAAATTCAGTTACTGATTAAGGAACTTTATTCAACAAAGGTAGCTTTAAACCCTGATTATATAGCTCTTATTTCAACAGAACTTTCTATTGGCAGCAATCCTATAATCTAGATTTAGATACTAAACAGCTTTCTGAGACTACTTCATTAAATGGCAGAATGGCATTTCCAGAAATGGGTGAAAACAGAGCTTGTTTTCTCACAAGCCCTCAAATGGAGGGGAGGGAAGGATGAGAAGTTCCCTGGGTCCGGAGTTGCCATGCCTCTCTCCCAGCTCCACTCCTGAGCTCTCAGAAGGAAAAAGAACTATGAGTGCAGCATATTTAACCAACAGCAGGTGATTAGAGCAAGAGCACATGTGCACCTATGCCTCTAAGAACGGCCCTGACAAGCTGCACTCCACAAAACACCCCATTTTTACACCCCATTACAGCAATATTTCTTAACACCGTTCTTATGGACCTTGTAAGCCTAGAAGCGGCTATGATCCTCTTTTGCCCCAAATCACCATGCAGAACATTTTTAATCATATTAGTATCGTTACTTTCAAGCTGTTTTATAAAATTTTCTACATCTCAGTTTTTTGAGCAACTGCTGGTCACAGTACATCATCCTTCTTTCTAGTGCTAGTCAGTAGGATGCAAGTCTACTATCCTAGACACAAATGCTGAAGCTTTTCTTTCCTCTTCCTATCTGTAGGAGCTTTACAAGTTTAATAACATTTCATTGTGTTTCATCAGAAGGTCCTCAGTACTATGTAAGATGAAAAAACTTTAAATGTTTTCATAAACCTTCATTTTTGCTGAACCCGAAAAAAAAAAAAAAAATGATAGGACACTTTCAAATGCCTGGGGAGAAAAACCATGCAATAAAAACTAAGAAGTGGCAAGTTCCCTATCATAATAAAAATGCTACTTTTACTTTCCAAGATACAAGCAGTGGTCTTGAACAGAGATGTTTCACAACAGCATGACTGAGCCTTGTGCTCTAACATTCAACCCTTAAAAGCATACTTTAAGAAATCTCCTGCAGCTGTACAATCATAGATAAGAAGACAAATCATGACTCTCTTAACCACATCTTTTAGACGGCAATCTTTCATGACACTCATACTTACCATCTCCCTCCCCCCAGGAAACAAACCCCTCTTTCATATGAGACTGGTATTTCTTTTCCTGACTCCTATTTCCATGAAAGCATCCCACAGAGTGCTTTAATATTCTTCTGAGTTTGGTCTACAGTCTAGCAGATTCTCTTACTGCAAAGTAAATTCTTATTCAAGCGAATATGACATTTAAACATTTCTTTCATGGATAACTAGATTAGAGATCTCCTCTGAGGATTCTCCTCCTTCCAACAGCTTTTTTACCCTGTGATATTCAAAACTGCTGGAGCCAGTTCTATTAACAAGTTATTCTTGGTACAAATTCTTCTGATAATTTGTCTTCTCTGTAATCCTAAATTGAATAGGCAATTCCTATTCTGAAGGAATTATAAGCATGTGACATCTTTTGCCTAAAATAAACTTTGACTGTTGGATAAAAGCTGTATCTTATCCTTTCAAATACTGTCTACTGACATTCTTACAGTAGGGAAATTCCTGTTGGTAGCCTGTCATTTTCAGTTATTGTATACCTAGAATTATATTACATTTACAATAAAAAAAAAAAGTTTATCACTGATACTTCGCTCTGCATCACTTCATCATGAATCGAGACAAATCTGTCAAAGAAATTACCTATTTAATTGCATGGTTTAGTTAGCATTTAGGACAACAGGAAACTAATACCCATTCAGGAACCCTCAGACACTAATTTAAGATAAGTGTAGTCCCTTTGTAAATATAGGTGTACAAAAAGACTTCAGGGTATAAAGGTTATAAGCCTGGGTTCAAGGACATAAAAATAAAGTCTTGACTTTCTAAGATAGTTATTTTACTAGTGATTAAAAGTTCTATAAGCTTCTCTGAATGAAAAAGTAACACTGCACAATCATTACTTGCGAATATTATCACTAAGTGGAGTGATAAGCATCGGGATTCTGTATCTAGCATTATCTTCTAAATATCCTTGGCTGACAGGTTTTAAGAACTTTAGACTTAACATTTGCTTACCTAGTTCAGTAACTTGTCGATCAAAAGGACAACGAACAGCTCTGCCATGAAGAGGAAGCCGGGTAAGACAGTCATGGCAGACAGTATGGCCACACAAAAGCAGCCGGGGAACTTTGTCACCTTGCAAAGAAAACACATCTTCACAGACTCCACACTCAAGAACCTATAATTTAAAATGAGTTCATATTTGTTTTTGAGCTGATAAAAAAGCAAAGCTTTGTACAGTAAGCCATATGACATCGTTTATCTTACAGAAGTTCCTGCAGTCACAGCAGATAGGCTGAGTCACTAGTTTTGCTTTGTACACACAAATAAAAATATGAATGATATTTAAAAACCAAATAAATAGACATGAACAGAATATTGTAACTTTTACTTTTCAGAGTCCAACCTGATCACCACCAGTTCTTGCCCAATTCATTTAACGCACTGCCACATGAAAAGCCCACTCACTGGTCAAGCTGCACAACTAAGTAAGGAGAAACATCCTTGCAGGAAAAGGAAATGTAGGGCAAGACCCTGCCAAAGCAGATCATCAGTCAGAAGAGAAAGTTTCCATTCAGAGCTGATGTACATACAAAGGTCAGTCATATCACGTTAGCCATTTATTAAACTACAATCACAGGACCGAGGTAGCAGGAACAAACAGCAGGGGAGACTGGAACATCTTAAACTGCTAATAAAAAGCAAAACTGATCATCATTTAGAAAGAATAAACGCCCACCCGACAAACCATAAGACAGTAGCGTCACCTAGCCACCTTAGGGAGCTTGGGTGCTACATCTTCTCCGAGACAGCTCCCCACTTCGAGCCAATCACCCTTCCTCCCCTTCAGACAGAGAGAGGCCTGCCGCCCCGCAGCCCGTTCCGAGGCGCCCCGCGGCAGCGCGGCTCTGCGCGGGGAAGGCGAGGAAAGGGCTCCGGCAGCGGCAGCCCAGCCGAGTCCGAGCCCGAGCCCGAGCCCCGCCGCCTCAGGGAACGCCTCATGAACCGGAGACCTCCCGCTCCCGCACTACCCCTTCCCCCAGCTGGGGCAGCGCCGGCACAGCCCCGGCCGCCACTGCCCGCCCTGCCGCAGGAGGTGGCCGAGCCGGAGAGCGCGGAGGGCCCCGAGCAGTCCGTCTCACCTTCACTGCAGCGCCAGCCGGGGCGCGGCCACTCCCGCCAGAACCCCGGCTACCGTCCAGCCCAGCACCGGTCCCGACCTTGTTTACACCTAGAGCCGCCATCTTGGGGAGGGCGGAGCCGCGCGGCCGCCGGCAGGAAGGAGCCTGCGGGCGCCTCGCCAGTCTGCGCCCGCCTCCTTCGACCCTCAGCAGAGAACTATGGTTCCCATCGTGCAGCTGCACCCGTGGCTTCCGGGAGACTACATCCCCCAGAATGCCACGGAGGTAGCGCCCGCCCGCCGGCGGGGGAGCGGGCCGCGGGGCGTTCTGGGATGTGTAGTTTCGCGCGCCGGCTGCTGTGCCGCACTGCGTGTTGGGAGAGCAGCTTCCGTGTCCGGCCGTGTGTGCAGCGCTCGGGCTCTGTCTCCTCCCGGCCGAGCGCTTTCCGCCATCGGTAGCTTTTTGGTCCGTCTGCCTTTCCGTAGGGGTGAAGGCTGGCGCCATGGACGTTAACCAGCCCAAGCAGGAGCATTTGCTGGCTCTGAAAGGTACCGACAGCGCGGCCCGCCGGTACCCGCCGGCCCTGCCCTCGCCCCCCGCGCCTGCCCTGGGGCTGGGCCTGCCCTCGGCCCTCTCCCAGCCCCGGAGCTGGGCCTGAGGGGCGAGGCGGGGCGCAGCGGCCGGGCTGCGAACTGGCCGTCGAACACTGCGTCCGTTCCGGAGGGGAGGCCGTTTCTTCCCGCCGGTTCGGACGAAGGTCGAGCAGGGGGCGGCCCGTCAGGAGCGGCTGGCGGCGGGGCGGCTGGCGGGAGGTGCCGGGGGTGAAGGAGGTTGGTGGGGTCGAGCGGTTGTGAGGGACAGAAGGCCCAGCGCACGGGCGTGCCCCTTACTGGACGGGGCCATTGAGGCTGTTCGGTGTATTTGTATTTTGTGCGAGACTTTTGGCACTTACAGGAATATATTTAAAAAAAAATTCCAGTTCCCTGCTGTCTTGTTTGTTCCCCCCTCTGCCCCCCCCCCCCCCCCCCCCCGTCTGATGTTTTTTGCCCCTTTGGCCTCGTGCTTAATGCACAGCTGCCACGTTTACGCCCGTGATTCAGAAATAGTGAATAGTGAAAATAAATAAGTGTATGTCGCTTGCATACTTTGCGGAATTAGTAGAGAAATCAAGAGAGCGCAGTAAAGAATTAGATCATCTCTGCTGGCAGTTGGGTACCAGTAAGCCAGCAATTGAAACACTGAAAAGCCTGAATCTGCTTTCACCATATTTCAGCCAAGAGGCATAATATTTACTTTATTTTTCCCTAACTCTGCTTGTTTATAAAATAAATGCAGCTAGTTAAGTAGGAGTAATAAATAGTTGGTCAAAATCGCAATCATGGGAACATTCTAAATCGGTGAGGCTGTCGAAATGGATAAAGTAGTGCAGGTGTGTACATGATTTCAAAGCCCATCTTCTGCCCATTTACTAGTTTTAGAACACTGCTGGAGAGAGTTTTAAATGGTGCCTGCATGTCACAGTAAAATCTGTTAAAGATTCAAAGATTTATAAGCCCATTTTCATATATGTGCACACACAAAGGTAAAAAAAACTGAGAACAGGCAACATAATCAGCTGACATTACACATTAATTAATTAGAAGCAAAAAGCTTTATGATGGATCATTTTGCTTTCATAAGAAACCAATAAAATCCTTGGGCTTTTATTGAGTTTGGTGCAGTGTTCAGGCTACAGATTTTGCAAAAGAAGTAAGAAAAGTATCAGGGTTTATTTGCATTGTGACTATTTCAGACAAAATCTTGACAGTGTTATGATTAAGCAGTCCTGGATTTTACTGGTTTTAGTATCATTGTGTATTGCTGATCTCTGACAGGGAACCTGAAATGATTGCAAACTTGTTAGGGGTTAAAAACGAGAGCAAGAGAGTGCTGTTTTAGTAATGTTTCATAGTTTCATTTGTAGTTCCCCACTATTTAATGTAATCTTTGTATGAAAGAAAGCAACAATGTATGAAAGTATCAAGTCTTTAAGTACTTAATGAGTCTTTAGTTATTCTAAGAATCTAATAAATTAAGAATTAATAGGTCCTTAATTTAAGGACTAAAATGATGGCTGCATGTATTGCTCAGAAGCTCTGAGACTGAAACTAGATGTGTAGTCCTGATATGAAATGGAAGCAGACAACTTTAATTTGCCTATAGAGCTTCCCTTTTAACCTGTGACTTTGAAAACTGCATTATAGGTCAGTACTATTTCAGAAAGGCATTTTGTAACACATGTGTTTTCTAGTTGCTTTATATGCCCTAGCTTAAAATATTGAAGTGTAGGAAGAAAACACTTTTGTAAGAAACAGAATTGTCTGGTAAATTTGAGAAAATTGGCAGTAGTAACTGTATGTCTTTTAATATTCATCACAACAATATAGCAAGAATAATGACAGATGGATGGCAAGTATGAGATGGTGACAGTAAAAAATACTCTTGGGAGGGACAGTGTTGAACGAACTATGTGCATATGGATAATGTTCAGCATACTGAAGTTACACTGGTAATAATGGAACACAGTTGCTAATGTTCAGCCTGGATAAAGTAGAAAGTTCTGATATATTTGTCTCTCTTGTTTTTACTAAATGTTACTTTTTTTTGTAAAATATCGTAGCAGTGTTTTCCTTAATATGGTAGTATCTTATTTTTTTTATAATACTTCCGCTTTAGGTCCTGTTTTCCAGTGATCTTTGCAGCACAAGGGAAGGAAATTCTTGTAAATAAGATGTTTCAGTCTAGATTTGAGAGTCCTAATCAAGACACTGTTCTTTTTCCTAAGAATAACTGGATTGCTACTGTACAAGCATGGAAGTGGTCTTGCATTATCGACCACATCAGAGAGATCTAATAAAACTGCAGAAGTTTGCAGAAGCAGCGGTGAAGGAGCTTCCTATTCGCCCGTTACCAAGATTTACACCCTGGTTTCCAAATGATTTATGCAGACTTCCCCTCAAACCAAAAAAGTGGCCACCTGTTATTTCTTGTGAGGAAGCAGAAGAACTGAAACAGCTTTTTACACCTTCAGAATATGTTACAGAATCTCCTGATTATGACTGCACAAAAAATCTCCTTGAGTTTCAGTCTAACATAAAACATGGGCAGACTTTAATGCAAGCAGAAACTGTTCACAGACCAATTAACTTGGAGAATCAAGGAGAACCAGCACCTAATGGAAAACAAAAATTGAAAAGGTCTTGGAGTGTCTCTCTCCCTAGCCCTAAGCTTAAAGAAAAGATTCTTCCTTTATCTCAAGAACTGCAGAGTAATTTGGAAAGACTAAAACTGCATGCATTTTATAGAGCAAAGTGGACAATTGAACAGTCTATTTGTAATAATCAGAATTTGGAGGACATCTGGATAAAATTGAATAGACTCATCAAGCAGAATGAATTGCCATCTTGCAATGCTACTATCCAAAGATCTGTGGGACAGATATGGATTTTCTGTGATATACTGTACTGTGAATATGTTAGAAATATTCTTAGAGAAAAGCTAAGTCTTACTGATAAAATGAATTTGCTTGTACATAAATTTGGAATTATATTTAGTTTGTAATTGTAAGATAGAGTTTCATAATAAAATTGCTATCTGAAGTACTTTTTAAGCAATATAGAATATACAAACTTCAGAACAGCTGGAGAATTAATGAGCAGAAATCTGCATAGTACTACTTTGCTACAGTTTTTTAACTGTAATAATATATTTATTTAACTTCGTTTTGCCAGGAGACATATGAATGGTTCCTATTAAGATTAGTAACTGTCTGTTTAGCTTAGTACTGCATTTTGTAGCTTTTCTCTACCTTTGTGGTCTAAATGAAAAAAATCAAACTAAGAATTCCAGACTATTATGTCAAGGTGCATCAGATAATAACATTTATGCTTTTGATCAAGCAAGCTACATCCTCACTGTGCTTCTTTGAAATTAGAAGAAGGAAAAATAGTTTTAAGTGAGTTGTTATATTGGATATAAGGATCTGTGATTATTTTTGTCATTGAGACTTTCAAGATTTGATTATTTCCTGAAGGTAGTATGTGGAGGTTTTTGAATGAAGTCACAGCCCTGGCATGAATTACAGATTTACTTTCTCTTGCATATATATGCAATTTTAGTAACATTATCTGTATTTTCCCAGAAATACTAGTGAAAGTTTCAGTGGAAGCTGAAAAATAATTAACAACTTTAGATATTATTTCTAATTATATTTGGGAACAAGAAAGCACTGACTTCCAGCTACACATCAGGGAATTAAGAAATTAGATGTCTATCTGTAAACCCCTATTGTCATTATGGAAGGTAAAGGTCTCTGAGGATTTGAATGCGTTTTATAGTGCTAAAAGGCTGAGTTCAGCATGACTTTTTGTCAGGTGAAAAAATGAAGTGTTTCAAGGTCATGCTGTTCCTGTTCAATTCAATGTTTGAAGGGTCAGCAGAGCAGTTGAACTGGGATTGATACGGCTGCAAGAGTGTGTATTTCTCTTGAGCACCCCTACTAACTCCAGATTATTTTGCTGTAGCTGGAGGTCAAGGTCTGTGGCATTTGGAAAAGGGGGAAAATAAGTGAATGGTATTTGTAGATTGTTAGATGATCGTTAACACTTATCAAATAAAAGTGCACATAAGCATAAGGGAGACCCCTCTCTGTAAAAACCAAATAAAATCCCCTTGGACTTTCACTTACATTTTTTCTTTTGATGACATCCTTGTGTTGGAATAATGATATTTTATTACAGGCATTACATACCTTTTTGTAGTTTAAAATCAAGTATATTGCTCAGTTTGGATCATTGACATGAATTTCTAAACTTTTAATGTTAAGGGGGCTCTGTATTGACATTTAGGGTGTTTCTGACATTTAATATTACCACTTAGCAAAACTGATATAAAATGTTGTCTAGAGTAACTGAGGGTCTAGTTTTAAAGGTTATATAGCCAAGTTATTTCACTTAAATTATTTTTCTGAGCTTAACACAAATAGTAACAACATTTCTTTGTGCATCAGCATTTTAAAAGTTATAGTGCAGTAGAATGCAACATGGTTTGAGTTTTATTTAATGTTGTAGGTTATGTCTAGGATCTTAGAAAAAACATATGAGAGGTTGTCTGCAAAGATACATTTTTTTCTGCTATTAATTTAGTAGTCCTATTAAATATGATAATCTACATACCTTAAGCTGTTTGTGTTTTGACTTCATTCTCTTATCTGTTTATTTATGGTCCTAAACATGATCTGTAACTTGTCCTTTAGAAACAGTCAGCAAGTACTAGTTGACATGGGTTTACTGTAGATTTGAATAAAATCAAGTAACCGCCAATAGTACAGTCCCACTATATTTATTTAATATATCAACAAAAGACCTAAACAAACATCTTACTAAACAGAGATCAGTGTCACTGTTCAGTGGTAGCTGTGAGCTTTCTGCTGCCTTGGTTTGGCTTGTGTGAGAATAATGGTACCTTCATTACTAGCTGTGAGCACCTCAGCTGGATAACTTTCATGTAATAAAAAGTGAACATCATATTTGGTTTCTCTACAGAATTATTACAGTCTTGGGTAGCACCGATGTACAAGCTGAAATCCAGACTCTTATTTTGAACTGTTCCAGAAATGCTTAGTTCATATGCATTTTCAGTGTTGAATCTGGTTCTCCACTTACTCTGTTCTGTATATTTTGGGACTTTTTATTTGCCTTGTGGTTCTAAGCCTTCAGAGGTCATATTTTTCAACTTTTCACCATAGCGAAGAGAATGTATTACCTTTTTTTTTGTGAGAAATGAGATTTGTTTGTGTTGGTGCTAACTTCCATAGGTCTGCTGTATAGTAGTATAACTCCTTATGAACCAATACAACCCACTACACCTAAATGTGTATTGAAATAATTAAATATTTTACACAACTGGAAGTAGTAAATCCTGATTAGACATAGAAGATGTACAAAACTACAATAAAGATAAAAGCACAATACATGTGTCAGTGCAAGGATGTTGTTTAACTTGTTGCAGTCAAGTGGAATCCTTTTTTTTTTTTTTTTTTTTAGTTTTACTTTTCAGAATTTTTGGGCTTTTGGTTTTATGTTTAAGTTTCAGAGAAAAACAAATCAGTGACATTTGCATATTCAGATCAACACCTGAGCTTAAAAGTGTTCAACTTTGTTTCATACGAATGCTTTCATGAGAAGCTAGATACGAGATTAGGACCGTTAGTTTATATGAATAGGAAGGAATTATTTTAAGATGCTTAAATCTGTAATACAAATAGAAATAATGTAATTTTGAGTATTCGGAGTTAAAATAGACTTTGAAAATACCACTTTCTTGAAGTAGAGGGTTTTTAATAGTGAGGTCTCAATGATTTTGATTTTGTCAGTATTGATAAAATAGGTTTTTTGTAAGTATGTTCCTGATGTTTTTGTGATGGTTTTGCTGGTTTGAGTGTAAAGTTTGTGGCTAAAAGAAAAAGTGGTTCTATAAATAAAGTCAGCTTTTAGACTTGCAACTCTATCTTGCCTGTGTTTTGGAGATTAGGGTGTAAATGCAATTCTTTATAGCCTGGAGTTTGACTAAAACGGTCTGTGCTAGTCATCATGTCCTGTTCTGTTCCCCCATCATCACCCATGTGATTTCCCAGGACCACTTAGCCTAGAAGAGTCCACAAAAAAATTAAATTGGTGTGCTTCTCCTGAAATCCACAAGGCACTTCACACTGTAACAGGTATAAGAACTTTAGCACACAAGATTGAAAGCAGTAGATATTAGTGCACCAGGGTAATAAAGCAGGAGGGAACAACAGCATCACTAGTGCTTTTGGATATCAGAGTAGCAGGGAATTTTTTCTATTGGAAAAGACCAGGTAGTCCAAAAAGGTTTTACCCTTTTTGAGGCTGAGATTTGGTCATTGTGTTTTTTTTTTTTTTGGTGGAAGGGGAGCAAACAAATTATGCTTTTAATAAAATAAAATTTAAAAATAATTGTTTCATTGACCTGTGGTTTATTTTCTGATTTTTGCAGTGATGAGGCTAACCAAACCTACTTTATTCACTAATATTCCAGTGACTTGTGAAGAAAGAGATTTGCCCGGTATGTCTTTTCTACTGATTATTATGTATTTATTACCAGGTTTAAGCAATGTGAGCACCTGAGACTTAGACATCCGAGGAGTCTTATAACCTCACACAGACAATAATTGGAAACAGCAATGTATTTTATGTCTGGTAATGGCTATAGGAAAATACTAAGGTGCACTCTACAACTCTTGACCTACGGCTTTGAAAGCTTGGTGATGATATTGCAAACATGTGACCTCAAAGTCTGAGCAATTAACACACAAGATGGAAGGCAGTTGTGAGAGAGAAATGCGTATTTGTAGAAAATTTGGCATTACTATCTTTATCTGGAGAAAATGCTCTGGTAATTAGAACCAACATATGAAAGGTCTATGGAAAATTATTTTGCAGGAATCACTGCTTTTGAGTTGTGTTATGCTTGGTGTACAGTCATAAATTGGAAATCCCTGGCTGTCACTCAGTAATAGTTGCAGTCTAGAAGTCAAGTATAAGAGGCAAAGGAAAGATTCAAGAAAAGAGGATTGTGTGGAGATACAAAGCAAGTAGGGGAAGAAAGTAAGTGGGGATGATTAGTTCTGTTATGTAATGTACTTGGGCAGAATTTCCCTTAAAGTTTAATTTTAATTTGATCAATGCCTTTGTGATTGCGCCATTCAGTATGCATCCTGAATGGTTCATTGGGCATCTAAATAAGTGATTAAGTGTCATAACTTAAATGTAGACAAAGCTTTAGACTTACCAAATATTTAGAGACTAGTAATTTGATATTTCTACAGGTAATCTATTTAACCAGCTCATGAAAGATGATCCTTCTACTGTAAAGGGAGCAGAAACTTTGATGCTAGGAGAAATGCTGACTTTGCCTCAAAATTTTGGGTAAGAATTAATTATTTAACTGTAACATGCTAGGTTTAGGATTCATTTAACTATAATGTGTTTATTTATTACTTTTCTTTCTTTTTGAACATTATTGTTACTCAATGAGATTTTTGATCATTTTAAAAACAATCTGTGGCTTGATTTATAATGTGACATAATATATAAATGTGTGCTGCCTGACGTTGCTTGTCTGTAGCCTGGCTCTGAATGTAGTAAGGATTGCAAGCTGAAAAAAATTTGCAGCTGTAGGTGAATTTCTAATGTATTGCACTACTATAAACCACATCTTATACTGAGTTTACAACAGTGATTTTTGTGGCTACTGTAAGCCATCTTCTTCTCACATTTTTATCTAGAAAAAAATGTTGATTTGTTTGTTCCCTTTTGAAGTTGTCTTAGAAGAATGACATTTAGAGGTATGGGTGTGAAAATGCCAACGTACTTTTAGGATTTGATCTGGCAAATGTGTGGGACTTCAGTGACATGTTCTGTATTTTTTAAAAATAACTGTTGTTAGTCATACTTTTGTTTCTTTTTAAACACAGGAATATATTTCTGGGAGAAACATTTTCCAGTTATATTAGTGTACACAATGATAGTAATCAAGTTGTCAAGGACATACTGGTGAAGGTATGTGAAGATAAACCTACTTACTGGATTTATAAAAAAATTAAATATCTTGAGTACGTTTTCTGACAATATCTTGTATGTTTATTGCTAATATGTAGACTTCAGGAAGTATCTGTCCTTTTTCCAGTTCAGAGAATATACCTGGAAATTAGAAGCAATAAGACATAAAAATAGAATCAATGACAAAAATCTGTAAAGGTTAAAATTAAGAACTAGATTTGTATTAAAAAAAAATGGGTATGTTATAAAGCTTCTCTGGAGAATTGATGTAACAAAAATTCCACAGCTAAAAAATTGCAATTGTATTCACTTACTTTCACTTCCAATGAGGTCATCAAAGCAAGTCTCTGTAAAGCATACATTGACTTGTATCTTGCTTATATTTCAAATGAGTTCTTTTCTAGTGCATGTTTTTTTTTGCATTTTCTGCTGAACAAATAATACATTGAGAATAGAAATTCCAGAAGTCATTGTGGTACTCAATGTAAAAAGTAAACAAAGATTTTATAGGCTGCATGTTAAAGGATTGGGCCGTTTACATGTATTTTAGAACTTGTCTTTAGCTTTGACAAATATCTCATCATTTCAACATACCTTAGTTATATAATATGCATAAAAGCATGTAGGGTACAAAATGCTCAGTGAAACCTAGTACTTCATAACAGAAGGTATTTTTCTTTGAATTGCTTTAAGGAGCTGCAGTTATAACCAACACTTTGTTTTTCTGTCCCCAGGCTGATCTTCAGACAAGTTCTCAGCGCCTGAACCTTTCAGCTTCTAGTGCTGCAGTAGCAGAACTTAAACCTGACTGTTGCATTGATGATGTGATCCATCATGAAGTAAAGGAGATCGGAACACACATGTAAGGTTTTGAATTTTTCTGTGATTAAATGAGCTTAAGTGACACTGCAGCACATGCATGCTATTCTGTTGCTGCTTTGATATAGGCACAAAATTTAAAGTAATTAAAAATTATTTTTTAAAAAATATTTTCTTTCAGCTTAGTTTGCGCAGTAAGTTACACTACACAGACAGGAGAGAAGATGTACTTCAGAAAGTTCTTCAAATTTCAGGTATTACATGAACTATTCTCTGCTTTTAATAAGTGAATCTGGAAAAAACATTTTAAAATACTTGATACTTCAAAAGCACATTTACATACTAAAAATCTGTTTGACTTTTAAAAGTGAACCACTAAAAAATGTCTCTTCAAACTTCACATGAACTGATGGTTTCTAATTACCATGCAGTTAAACATTTCAGCAGTAACGAATATTATGTTCTATAATTTTTATTCATTTATTGAGAAAGAAAAATCTACTCTTTGGAAAAACCCTTTTGATGGCATCCAGTTTTATGATTATTATTAAATAGAACAAGTGTTGTTCATTCTGAATTTGTCACATCTAACCCTTGCTTTTAGATTGTAAAATTCTGATTTTTCTTTTAACATGTGTAACCTTTTTTAAGTTGGAACTTAGTGGTTTGTTTTTTAAAGGAAACGAAGCAAAGAAGCCTAATGCTTTATGTCTGACTAATATCCACAGAAGTAATTGATAGAGTTGAAACTTTTTGTTCAACCACACAGATTTCAAGACCTGAGATTAGACTAACTGAGGAAAGCAGGAAATTACTGTTATCGGTGGACTGGTTCTGGCAGGAAAGAGTCTATTTTAGCTATATACTTAATGGATGTTTATTTTTTAGAGAAATACGCTGAGACTTGGATAACTGTGGGTTCTTTCCTGTAGAATGGAAGATGAGGTGACATGCTTTACTGAATACATTTTTAGATACTCTCTCAGAGTGTCTGGCAATACAGGGGCACTATATAATTGAGACCTCTATCTTTTGCAAGTCTCAGGTGATTTCCATTTGCTCTTTTCTACTATTATATCTAGATACTTCAGAAAAAAAGCTTTTCAGTCTTTAGAAGGCTAACCTTCCATGCACTACAGACAAAGAAAACCCGAGTGCTGTTAATTCCTGTAGGCGTTGTAATGGCAGATGTTGATTAGTCAGAGTTGTTTCCAGACAATCCTACAAAAAATAATTTCATATCAGTTTTCATGTTGCTCTCCTCTGAATCCAGAAACTGCAGCGTTTCTTCATCTTTAATGAAGCTGATTTTCATCTTTGTGTGTTTTGTCTTGCTATCCTTGTGAAACTGTTTCAATTTCTCTATTGTTTGTCCCTCAGGAGTTCAGTATTCTGTCCCTGTCCCCCTCTCAGATTTCTTTGATCACTAATGTATGCTTCTGCAGGCTTTCAGTTCTCATCTTCTCTCCCTTCCCTACCCTTGGTCTTGCCAGAGCCTTTTTGAAGATGTCAGTTTGTCTCCTTTAGATTTGATATGTAAATTTATTTGTGCACATTTTTCAGGGGTCTACATGCATGTTGTAATTTCTGTGCTTTTTAACTGAATCCAGCATAGGCAGCTTTAATGTCAAAATAGTTAAGGCCAGCTATCTCTCAAATTTGAAGCTCTTCCTTCAAAGAAGGAAGCATAAGTGCTTCTCAAAAGTATATATACACATTAACACCATTCTATAAATACTTTCTGATTCATATGAGAAAAACACTTCACTAAGCAAGTTTGGTTGTTGGTTTTTAAATTTGACATGGGGACACCAGCTAGAAAATCTGAGAACAAACAAAAAGAAATGTGACAGAAAATGGAGCAATGTCTTTACAGTGAGAGTTGATGGCTGCTAGTGATCAAGGTGCCACCAGCTATTTTATAACAAAAAAAGCATTTCTCTTTCACACATTCTCAACTTCCTCAGTTATGTTTTCTGGGATCTTTTAAGTTGAACTTGTGTTACAGTTGGTTTTAAACAGTATCTTGTTCAACTGTTATATATAGTTTAATACTGATCAATAGTGCCTTTTTGATCAAAAGCTTTCTGTGGGTAACTAACACCGTAGTATTTATTTGGAGAAGGAATTATTCTTTCTAGGGTTTGATGGTTGGTTGTTTTTTGGGGGGAGTGTGGGTGTGAACCTCGCAATAATTGTTTTATATTTTTTGGAATGCCACTTGAAATTTACTGAAATGAATGGAAAGATTTTGTTTATCAGAAAGAGAGAAAAAACACCAGCATTTAGGGAAATTAATAAGAAGCTCACTGAGGCAAAATATTTGGCAGAAAAAAACACTCAACCAACAAACACCTAAATTAAAATTTTTACTTTTCTTTTTCTGACTAGAGAGAGATAGTTATGATTACTTGAAAGATTTGAACATTATTCCTGTTATAATGCAAAAATCTCTGTGAAGACTTTTTTTAATCTTGAATTCTTCAGGGCCAAAAAATTAATTGATAACTTGGAACTTCAGGAGTCTCTCAGGATGCAGTACACTTATATGTAAACAAATGAAAAGTTTCCCAGTGTAAAGGGAAGTAAATGTCTTCAGCCAGATAACTGATATTTGTTTCTTTACAAGTATGATAGAAGATTATTTCTTTCAGTTACATCAGTTTATATCCATTTCATATTTGACTGTGTTAACTGTAGTGGCTTTATGCACCAAATTCAAGGACGTAATAACCAACACTTTATTATCACCTTATATCATCAAATTGTTTTCTCTTGCTGATTTAATCTCATGTAATTAAAATGATTTATTGGCTTTTTTATTTCTTGTAACAGTTGCATTTTCAAGAAGGAAGTGAAGCCTGATAAGGGTTTGTTGTTTAAACTAATCACATGAATAGTTCTCTATTTCATTTATTTTTAGAGAAGCCCTCAGCAACTTTTGTTTGCTGCAGAACACTGAAGGACTTGTACATATTACATGGTTCTTGATCACTCTTGGAAGCAAGTGCAGACCACTTCAGGATACAAGATGGATGTAATGTTATTTTGAAGACATAGATCTACTTAGTGCACTGGATTTGTCTGGTTTCATAAGAGGCCAGTGATTAGGGGGGGAAGTATTTGTTTTCAGTCTGAGAAGACTGCTTAGTAGCAAAGTAGTCAAGTGTGCAAGTAAGAAGCAGCAGGTATGTACTCTGGATTGTGAGGTTTTAGCTGAGTTGATTGTATCATATATTCCGTTACGCACCTGTTCTGTAAGATCAAAAAGAAAAGTAACACTTCAGTAAAGATCCTAGCACTTATAAACATTTTATGCTGAAGTTGTCTGAGAAACCAGTTGTCAATCCGTCTTTTTTCCATTTCATTCAGGTTCTTAAACCACTAGATGTGAAAACCAAATTCTACAATGCTGAGGTAAGTGAGAGCTGTGTGTGTTTGGGTTTGTTCTGGTGTGCTGGGTTTATTACTTCACTTTAGGTGGTTAGATTAAATTCAAAGAGCTTCTTAAGTAAACATGTTTGTGAGAACAATGATCAGTTCTAAAGGGAGGGAACTCAGTGGTGAGTTTATATAATTTTGTTTAAAAATAGATATCTTTTTCACAAAGGGGGAAGGAGATGGTAACTAAGGCACATGTTAGGACCTTAATGCAATTGACTGACAGTTTTGCATATTTTCCACTTTCCCATGAACTCAAATACTTTCAGTTATTGCTTCTGTATTTAGGCCAATAGAGTACTTATTGAAAGGGAGATTAATTGTTCACAAAGCAGATAAATATTTACCAGATTGAGGAAATCTAAATTTAAATTTCCCCAATTTAAATATGACCTCTTTGTTCAATAATTTAATTTTTAGGTTTGTGACAGTTATACACAGTGCTTCAAAATAAATGACCTTATATATGCCTTGTACATTTATTTGGACATACTTAGGAATCTGTCTTTGCCTATTTATGGGAAGAATTTTAACTGTAGGTGGCATGGATAGTGGAAACTCTTACAAATTACATACAGTATTCTTTTTATTTGTAGACATTCCCTGTGGATATCTGTATTATATAGGTCTGTTGTAAGGTATAAAATTCCACAATATCTCATTACATAGGAAATTAGGACATTTGTTTCCATCATTATCACTTACCTGCTTTGTGATAGTGAGCAAGTAGCTTAATTTTGTGAGCGTACTGATACTTGCAAAGTACTTCAAGAGCTTCTATTATGAGTATTAAACTTTTCCCATAACCCCTGAAATGACTAGCATTAGTATTCTTAAACAGTTTGCTTGATATAGTATTAAAAGAGTAAAGCTGTAGGTGTTTTATATTGCAGTGAATAGTAGGTGGGAGAAAAAAACCCCAAGTGTCAGTTAGAGGAGAAGAGAATATGTGAAATTTTGGAAATTAGAAAAATAATTTGCTTTAAGCTAGGTAGAAAATATTTTGCTCTCTTGTTTATTCTTAACTAAGCAGATGTATATATTATGAATTTGCATGTAGAAAAGCAGAATCACACCTCAGTTTCATCATGCGAGATTATGGCTATAGAGATGTGAAAGGTTTATTTCTTTCACTTACTGACAGTATCAATAGAGAAAGCAGGAGAAATAACATGTAAGAATTTCTGCTCTAAAAATGAGGATTCCAGATGCAAAGATCTGTCTTGTTCAGAGTTGTGTGGGAAACTTTCCATAACGATTTTCTCTCTGCTGTGAATAAATTGCATGTAAATTATGTGATATTTAATATATAGCATGTAATTTATTTATAGGGAATATAAATCAAGGCACAGGTCATAAGTGATTTAAATATCATATTACAGAGGAAGAGAGACAAACATTTTCCTAAATATATCGTGGTATATGTATCTAGGCCATAGACTTCAATCCTTAGATTGACCAGGTGTGAGATACCTGAGTAGTGTCGGAACATAAGCACATATCAGTGGTTGAGTGCTTTATAGAACTGGTGTTATCCATAAATGGAAATGTCCATAAATGTCTCCTGCTGTGATTTAAGAACAAAAATAATCCTAAAAAAATAGGTAATTCCTCTAGAAACAAAAGAAACCTCCTTTTGTGCATGGATTGTGGTGTTCAGATAGAAACTACATGGTAGGCAAAAGAGGGATAAGTATCTTAAATTAAATGTTGCTGTTTCTATACTTCATGTGTAAATTTTGTTGTGTGTTGAAACACTTCATAACAAATGGAAATAAAAACCTCTTAAAGGTAAATTCTGGGCAGACTTTGACATAGGTCAAAAGTATTCTTTTCTTACAAAGTTGTTTTACGGACTGACCTTGGTAAGGGGCTTAAACTCCATTCTTCAATGAGCCACCAGTGCCTCATGATAAAGATATGTGAGAAGCTTTAGTGTCTGAGCTGGTATTTGTGGTTTTTTTTTTGTTTTATTCCCTCCCCATAGATGTTTTAAAAGGCTGCTTTGATGACTTTTCTTCTTCCTGTTCAGGCATTTATGCAACTCCCATTACCATAGTATCCATATGATTGGAAAAAAAAAAAAAAATTTTGGATGTTACTAACTGAACAATTTTCATTTGCCTAGCAAACTGATATAGTACCATTCATATTTAATTTCTGAAAGTATATAAAGTACTTCTATGTGTTATGATTACAGAAGTGAAAAAAAAAAAATAAATCCTAGAAATAAGTCTTTGGTTAGATGTTGTATATGATACACATTGTTATCAAAGCACCAAGACCTTCATCCTGAATATTAAGAAAGACTGTTATCCTTGGGAGCAGGGAAGAAAAAAAAAATCGGTATGTGTTAGTTATTAGTTACCTAAAGATCTTGAAGGGTTGACTAACCACTTAAACTGTTACCATTAATACTACAGATGTGATACTGTCGATTCATAAAGTCTGTCACTAAAGATTATTTTCTATTAGAAATTATAATCAATAATTTCATTTTTTTCTATGACAAGAAATGACGCTGAACCTTAATTTTCTTGCTTGTTGCTCATATTTCAGTAGCATCCAAATCAAGTTGATCACTGAAATTCATGCATAGAACGCATGCCCTATCGCCCTAACCTCCTGCAATCCTGAGACTGAGTTACCCTCTATAGAAAGTCTCTCACTGATTTTCGTGTGCCTTGGAAAAGGCTCTGTAAAAGGTTCTGTTCCTGCAAACATGCATAGGGAGACAAATATGCAGACACTTACGAAAACAAAGTTTGCAATTAAAGTTGGGGTTTTGGAATGATGGATATTCAAAAAAGAGTTTTTCCCAATTGTTATGCCAAATTTTGTTATAAGCTGCAGTACTGTAGCTTTACTAGAACACCTTACCACATTACTTTTTTTTTGAGACCTTATGTATGTGGATACTTCAAACTACCTGTAAAATGACAAGACTGTTTTTCCATTTTATATACAACCCATTGCATGGATTTAAATTCAGGACAAACTTTAAACTTGCTCTAAAACTAACTCTTTTTTTTGGGGCTAGTTTGTTCTACCATATCTTATCTGTGACTTGTGTGCCTTAGGCTCTACTTTGGATTGGTTCTTTAAGCAAAGCTAGTAATCCATGTAACCATACTAGCTATAACTTAGTAGAAATGTAGTTGTCATCTTTGTTTGCATCCATTTTTATTTACATTTCTGTCTTACTAATGCTATCTTGTTTAGATGGTGCAAAAAAAATGCAGAAATGCATTTTGTTTGAAAGTTAGACTCCTTTTTCTTTAACATTTAACCCTAATTTCTCTAATGTGTTCTTTTTTTATTTTCCCATTAGAGTGACCTCAGTTCTGTGGTAATTTTTATTTATTTTTTTATAAATATGTATGCTTTTTTAATTGCCTATCTGTCTCTGTGCTTGTTGTGACATTCTTTTACAAACATAATGGAAAAGCAATGTTTGTTCTGCATATCATGAACTGATGTTTTCTCATCTTTAAATGTGAAGCTAATCATCTAACAGGTTAGCTCTTTCTTTAATAACCATTGTTGAAACTAAAAGTTGATTATTATAGACTCTTTCTTGCGGGGGTCCTCCTATAAAGTACCTCAACAAAATTTGACTAGATTAATTATTTGAAAATGGGAGTTAATAATTTTTAAAAATTTCCTGCTTTTGACCCATAGAAATGTAGGTTTTACTACAGCACTGCTTGTGTAAGCTGTGACAGAACTTTTCACGTCTGGTTGGTGGAGACAGTGGGTTTGAGGAGAGAGCAGCAACTGGATGTTCTTCCTTTCGCTAGCTGGAACTGCACTTTCCAACTTTTAACTGCATGTAACAGTTGATGAGTTAGTATAATACTTCTGCAGTCAGATTTCACTTTAAGGTGTGCCTTGTATTAAAATAACTTAGTACTTAAGGGCTTTTTTTCTAAAACCATATTAAAACAACTTAGGAATAACACAAAACTAACTTGCTTTTTCATTATGCTGCTTGTTTTTTCTTTTCCCTTTCAAATTAGCTTTTTCACAATTTCTGCCTATGGTTGCTGCATTGAAAACAACTAAAATTTGGGTGAATAGACACTTTGAGCAATGGATTTATGGGATATAAACAGTATCAATTTAAGTGACAGTCAGGTGGTAGTAGTAATGATCACTGAGAGCCATGTTTGGGTTGAGGTTATTTCCAACTCCTTCTGCAAGTGTGAGGTCGGTTCTGAACTCATGGAGCTTGCACAGTATTCATTATGATATATATGCTATCATCTGGTTTGTGTTTGACATGTTGATAAGGCACAGAAAATAGTTCCAGTACCATTCTGTATTTCTTCTTCTAACATAAGGCCTTTTGAGACTAAAAATATTTTGACTACTTTGTCCCACTTTTATTTTGTAATTTACAAACAGGACTCCTGTCTGTATAATGAAGTAGTTTATTAAACTGATTAAAAAGAAACAATAAGCTTTCTTCCACCTTCCCCATAAAAATACTTATTTTTTTTTTTAATTTATCATAACAAAATACGTAAGCTGCTTCTGACTGAATTCACAGAACAGAATATTTCAGTTGGAAGGGACCTACAACAATCATCTAGTCCAACTGCCTGAATCAGTAACTCTCATGTAAATGCAATTTGGTACACACACACACCATTTTTGTTGTTGTTGTTGTTTTTTTAACTGGTTCTTCTTTGATTTTGTTTTTCACTTTTCCAGGCGCTCATATCTCTAATAGACTGAGCCTTCCATGATTATTCTATCCTGAGTTTATAGAGCTGCAAAGTGACTTCACTGATCTGCAATTCCGCAGAAGCAGTGAGGGAAACACACCTGTAGTTCCACATTTTTTCAGCTTCTGAAGCTTAACAGTCTGTAGCTTTCATTCCTGTCCTAGAATTGGTCCTTATATACCATCTTCAGGCATTGGCTTCATTTAACAAATATGTCTTACAGGATGTTTTGAAGATAGAGCACTAGTTAAATAGTTGGATGGGTATATTATTGGTAACCATTGTCATGGTGCAGCTGAGCGAGAGAAGAGGCTGGTTTTTGCTTTTTAGCCAGTATATCAGTGTTTCATAATAAAATCTCAGAGCATATACCTGAACTATTTTATTTCAGTTAAAGAAATAAAATTATTTTAATTTTTTTATACAGCTTGATGCACTAGTAATCTGACATGGCATGTTGTTGTGCACTGCAATTCCTTACCATTTATTCTGGTTTTTTCTTTTTTAATAATTTGGATTAAAACTTCAGTTGCCATTGAGTTGGTGAAACTCTTGGAAAGTGGTGTTCTGATCCATTACAAATAAGCAATAGCTAGAACATAGTGAAATTATCCCACATCCATTGTTTGGCAAGATACCTGTTGACTAACACTTTTGCTCCTATTGTTACTGGGATTAAGGTTTTTTCTTGCATTAATTAATTTGATTTGCAGGCATGAACTAAACACGTGACTTTTTGTGGTTTTGGTTTTTTTTAACAATAGCACTGTCAACTCTTTTTAGTAATACTAGTCATGTTTTCATGAACTTGCCCTTTTGTTTTTTTTTCAGACAGATGAAGTGTTTCTGGAAGCTCAGATTCAGAATATCACTACCTCTCCAATGTTTATGGAGAAGGTTTCTTTAGAACCATCTATGATGTATAATGTTGCAGAACTGAACACAGTTGGCACAGCAGTGGAAAGGTATGTTCAGATTCAGGATATTTGACTTTGAATTTCTTTGTATTACAGTTTCATGAGATATAAGCATTACAGTTAGTCAGTTGTCTGTAATGGAAGGATTGTACTTATTTGCTTCATTAAAAAGACCAAAGTCTTATGTATTCACCTGGAAAAACTGCTACAGTTTTCTTTTTATAGAAGCTATTCTTAAAACTTTGTAATTCTACCTAGTAGAGAAATCCCCATCTTAATCCTCAGAAAATTTGTAACATGAAAGCATACATTTTCAGTATCTCCTATATAAAATTTAACCCACATCTGGTTCTGACTTGATCAGTCTATACATATTTAGCCTTACAGGACCCATTTGACTTGTCGTTGCTTCCTTCTACTAGACTGGTAACTGTTTTCAATTGTTCTAATCAAGATCTAGCAAGGCAGAATTCAAGGTAAATCAGTGGAATGCCCTTTTAGGATCTTACAATATAAAAACTTGTCACACTGAAATAAATTAGATGTCATTCAGTGTCAATTAGTAAAACACTAAATGCCAGAGTTGTCTACTGTGTTCAGTAAACTGTTGTGGATAGAAAAGTTTGTGTTTTCTGGGTAGGAGTTTACCTGTGGCTGTTTGTGCTTTGCAGTTGCTTGGGTTTTTGGAGGAGTTAATGTTTGGATGCTTTTGCAGCAGGGGCTGAAGAGAAAATTCTGTCTTCTGGCCCGTTGAAGGGTTCACCTGCAGCATATTGGAGCATTGTTCTTACAAAGTGCTTGCATCCGCTGTAATGGTTCTTGTCCTGAACAGGAATCTTGGGCTCATGACACTGAGATTTACTGGGAGGGAACCAAACAGCAGAAGTAAAATTACCAGCACTGTTGTCTAAGTGCTAAGATGCCGAATAATAAATTATACTGTAGTAAAGTGGATTTCCACCTCAGTTCTTTCTGGCTTAGATGAATTGGGTTCTTCTTCTTCATGGTTCTTGATGCTATATAAATTCTAGAATTGTTTTCTGTTGTAAAAACACAAAGATATTCTGTGTTTTGTCATGACCAAAATACATACACGCACAGACACACACGGTAAGGGGTGGTGAGGGATGGGAAAAAAGGTGGGGTTCTTAAGTCTTCTTAAAAATAACTCTTTCAATTAAGGCCCAGTGTTGTTTGTTTTTTTTAGTGAGTCTACTTTTGGCTCAAGAACTTACTTACAACCTATGGATACACGTCAGTACTTATATTGCCTAAAACCAAAGCAAGAATTTGCAGAAAAAGCTGGAGTAATAAAAGGTGTAACAGTGATTGGTAAACTAGACATTGTGTGGAAAACTAATCTGGGCGAACGAGGAAGGCTGCAAACTAGCCAGCTCCAAAGAATGGTAAGCTTAACTTAAGCATCAATTTAACTTAGCATCCATTTTTAAAGCAACTCAATGAACAGTTTAATAATGACTTGAAGGAGAAGTTCAAGCTGTTTACTTTTGGGACCTCATTCTGAATTCACATGTTTCTATATGTATTTGTGAAAGTTATTTAATAAGTTTGGTCAGTGAAGTGTGAAAAAAACACTATTCCAAGAGACTGTAGCTGAACAAAAGCATTTTTGTTCCTTTTGGTCATGTAAATGGTAACAGTTTTTGCCTTCTTGAGGATTTGTTTTCTGGCACATAACATGCCTCTTTCTTTTTTCACATCACTGAACAACATAACTTAATGAATTGTGCGTTTGAATTGCCAGAATCAAATAACCTATGTAGCAAAATATATTGGTGTCGTGGTTTGAACTCAGAGGGCAACTGAGCACCACACAGCTGCTCACTTCCCCTGCCCCCCACAGTGCTGAGAAGGAGAAAATAAACCAGGCTGGGGATTTGAGATGGAACTGGGAGGGACAGATCACCCATTATGGTCACAGGCAAAAGGCAGGCTCATTAGGGGAAGAAAAAAAGAACATAGGTTTATTACAGACACAAACAATAACATGTAACAGAGTAGGACAGTGAGAAGCATTGCCACATCTTGAGAACACCTTCCCCCCACCCCTCCCTTCTTCCCGGGCTCAGTTCTGCTCCAGATATCTCTACCGCCTCCCCCAGTGGCGCAGGGGCAGGGAATGGGGGGTGCAGTCAGTGCTGCCACTCCTTCCATCTTCAGTGGGGGGAGATCCTGGAACTTGTTCCCCCTGCTGCAGCGTGGTTCTCCTCTCACGGGAGACAGTCCTCCACAAACTTTCTCTTACTTGAGTCCCTCCCACGGCTGCAGCCCTTCCCGAGCTGCTCCGGTGTGGGACACCCCCGCATGCTGCAATCCTCCCAGCACTGAATTACAATAGTGGGGGCTGCTTCTTCTCACAGGATACCAACCTCCTTTGGGTGCTGCCACCTTAAACAGACATATGAGGCTGCTCATAGGCCATAAATCAATGTCTGCTCCACCGTAGATCTCCATGGGTGTCAGGGGGGGCCGCCCTGCCGTCTCCCCACAGGATACAGGGGGGTCTCTGCTCCGGCACACCTCCCCCCTCCTTTCTTCCTCCGTTCCTCCACTGACCTTGGTGTTCACGCAGCTGCAGCAACTCCTCCTCACAAGACCAACTCCTCCTTCACCACGTCCCTTCTTAAATACGTTATTGCAGAGGTGCAGCTGATTGGCTCAGTTTTCGAGCAGAAGTGGAGCTGACTTGGAGCTGGGGGAGCTTCGAGAAGCTTCTCAGAGGAGGCCAACCCTGTAGCCCCCTCCCCTGCTATGAAAAAACCCCACCACTCACTCAAACCCAGGAGATGAACCTTTGAGAATTGCACTTGAGGCATAGTGGTGATTAACACACCTCCACACTCCAGGATTCGTTTTCATCACCATCATTGTTTTGTGCTAGTGATTAATAGAGAAACATGAGCTATTTTGTCTACTTTGAGTAACGTGTCTTTGGAAAAGCAGCAAACAGTTTTGGGGTTTTGTTCTCCTTTGACTTTCAGTGCAACTCCCTCTTATCTTCTAATCTTTTAAGTGCTATCAGATTATTTAATGTCTAGGCTGCTTTCACCTTCCATCATTTGCCTCCTTATACATTTACTGGCCCTATAACCGTTGTTTCCTGAACAGGCTCAGAATTTTGCCTGTACTGTGCTCCCCTGTCATTGTTTTGGTTCAGATCAGGAATGCACTTTTGAAACAAGTATCCTGGATCACCCTCACATGCCATAATTCAGGTTGTTTTGTGGAGTGGTCTTGGAATTCACAACTACATTCTTTTTGGGTGACATTAAACCAGACAGAGGCATGTCCATAGTATGCCAAGGGTGCTCCACCTGCTCATGGATACTCAATTCAGAACTGGACTAGAACCAGTCCAAAGTTAAAGAACTTTACTCTTGAGTAGCACAAGCAAGGAGTTGTCTAGTTGATTCTGTACTCTGAGGAATTATCTCATTTTTAGATGAAAACTACATTCCTCCTTTTGGTGCTACTGTAAGGCCTTTACCCTCAGCTGTTGAACATATCTCATTGTTAAGGCCAACAGGTATGTACTGGTTTAGGCCTTCTCATCTGCTCTCACCCTGTCTGGATTTGGACAATTGCTGCTAAGTTTATCCTAGAAAATACCTTTTTTTTTTTTTTTTCCCTTAATATATCTCTCTCAAAAGAGAAGTCTAATGTTATGGCAAACTACACATTGTGTAGGGAACTGGTATAGTTTTTCCAGTAGGTTCCTTCCTGTAACCTAATATAGCTGAAAATGTGTGCATTTTTCCAGTGCTAGATAATTACTTCTCTTTCTTGAAAGGTTCCAAAATTATGTTGCTCAACTGGTCTGAAGTATCTATCATTTTGACATCCCTTTGCTTGCTCTAATGTCTGATTTATTACGTTTTCTAAAATGTCATCTGACTTCAGTCTGTAATGAACTGTATACGACTAAAACCTGTTCCCAACCTGTTAGTCACTGGTTTTCTAGACCTCTTTGGGAATATCTTTTAATCAAGCTGCAAATGTAACTTACTACAGCATTGTTCCATCAGCAGAATTGGAATATGTGTCACAAGCCTTGTCAGACAGGACAAATTTTCCCTTGTTTTTTCCTTACAGTCTGTCATTTATTGAGATTGAAAATCTAAAGCTTTTTATCTGCAGGTTACCATCTTGAACCAGACCTGTCTGGTAGTAACTAGGATATTTATCATAGATTTGTTAGTAGACCATATGAAATGTATTTGTTTTTTGACAGAACTGGGTAGCTGACAAGTGTTCATACCACGTGCCTTTTTAACTGATAGCAATTAATTATTTTGCCAGAGGCTTGGAGAACTGAAATGGCAAGGAGAACAAACAATCTCTTATTTCTTAGGATGTGGAATAGTGGTGGGTATCTGCAGGAAATCAATACTTACAGTGTCCATAGTATATCTATTATCTGCCTGACAGAGAAGTCTTAAAAAAGCTGATGCTCTCAGGAACTGTGTATGGGTATTCAAACTCTAAGGTGATGTGAACTATCTGAAAAACTTAGTAATAAAGATCATCCTTGTGTAATGAATTACTAAACCTATCAAAAAGGTGATCATTGGTGGTGGATGGAGCACTGCTGTGATTTGGGTACAGATCAAAAGCACAACAAGTCAGTCTTCTTTCTTCAAATTCCTCTTACTCCAAATTTGTGGAAGTAAATGAAAACTTGAGTAGTAAAAACTTCTGCTGTATTCTCCAGCATCTGAGAATATACATTCTTGTACTTTCTCAGGCTCCTGGTTATGGTGATGTAAGGCTTTCTCTGGAGACAATACCAGACACCGTAAATTTGGAGGAACCTTTTGACATTACATGTAAAATAACAAATTGCAGGTAATGATGTCATGTGATTCTTGTGCTTTTTCCTGAGTGAGTAGGCTGTGGCTGTCTTTGTTTCATTTTTCAATACTTTTTCCTGAAACAACTCAAACCTGGTCTTTACTGTGAGTTGTAGCAGCATGAAACTACTTGAAACACATCTTTTTGATTACAATGATTTTAAAAAACTTGAAACAAAAAAACCTTCCGACATGATCTATTAATACTATTTGAACTAAAAGATTGCCAAAAATCTGTAGTGGTATCCCATGGATCTGGCTGCAGTATCATTTAAGATCGCACCCCATACTTAAATCACTAATCATCTTATTTCATTTTAGTTTATCTGGTAACAAAATGAGTGTGTATATAGGATTTTTTTAACTACAGTTAATTTTATCAGAATAAACAATGCCATTTGTATCCAGTCTGATTTTACTGCTAGTTTTGCACCACTGCTGGAATGCCTGCTAACCATTGTCACCGTAGTCTTTTGTACATCCTTATCCATGTTTTGACTTGATTTGTGTTTACACTGGGATCTGTGGTAGCCATTTATAAAAGGGTTGCAAGAGTGACAGTTGAATTAAGTAATTCTGAATAGAAGTTGAAAACAGAGACTAAAGCATATATCTGGTCTGCAGATAATTCTTATGAAAATCTTGTACTCCATCCAAAACATGAGCAGTATTATGCTGTCCAGTATTGCTAAATCCAGGGCAGGACACTTGTGTCAGACAAAGTTATATGCAACTGAATTACTGCACAGCACAGAAAATCTTGCTTGCCACCTTATAATTATTTATGATTGCTTAATAGTAACCTCACCAACAAAGTAATCAAGCTTTTACATGCCTGCAGTCCTTGCATGCTTAAAAAAAGGCCATGGGTTTATTCCTGTTTTTTGATTTCCTTTAGCAGTGAAAGGACTATGGATCTGGTTTTAGAAATGTGCAATACTAACTCCATCCACTGGTGTGGAGTTTCAGGAAGGCAACTTGGAAAGCTGCACCCAAGTTCATCTCTCCATCTTGCACTTACATTGTTGTCTTCGGTGCAGGGATTGCAAGTAAGTCTCTATAGCACAGTTTTGTTATAGCTGTTTTATAAGCTTAGTAGTTCTTTCTGATAACAACTCTTACAAATATTTTTCCTTTCTAGAGTGTCTCTGGCTTAAGACTTACAGACACATTTTTGAAGAGAACATATGAGTATGATGATATTGCACAAGTCTGCGTAGTTTCCTCAGAAGTCAAATAAAGCTGAAGAAAAAATTCTGTATTTCTGCCGGGATTTAATTTTATTTTTTGGACCAACTTCTTGATGTTTTTCCAGCCAAATCGTATTAAAATGTGTACAAACAATACCAAATCCCTATATCTATAAATGTAACTGCTTATTTAATTTCTCTGAGCATTTTTGAGTGTTTAAAAATCATTTAAAAACATGCATATGCATTTTATCTACTGAAAATAAAGCCTTTTAAAAAAGTGTAGCTCTAGCAAATTATATTGCATTAACATCACCTTGGGGCTGGGGTGTGAGATTGATATGGAATAGTACTTTGTACTAATTTTTTGTTATTTTAATTATTTAAACAGTTTTAAAATTGTGGTTCTGACAAAACTGCTTCAGTTTGAAGGGACTGGCCTTTTACAGACAAGTTCCTGGAATTCAGACCCCTAAAAAAATATTTTGGGCTACCTGGTGTGGCAGTGTATTTGCATGTACATGCAGAGCCATAAAAACTAGAGCCTGAGAAAGGCATGAGATGAGACAGTGCAACTGGCGCTGTTGAGGTGCTAGCAGCTAGGAAGTGGAGTATCGGCCAGAGAACCTGCTGTTTGTGGCTCAGTCTTTGCAAAGGAGTAATACAGCAAATCTGTCCCAATTAGCTGCAGTCTCATGCAGAGCCGTGCATCCCGTGCTGTGAACAGGCACGCTAGTTCTCAACTAGGAGGGAACTGAAAACTAAAATAGCAGAACACAGGCATTTTTCTTATTGTTAAAACTGAGGCAGTGCAAATTATTGTTCCCATCCCAGTCGCCTTTATGTAGTTTTTTAGAAAAATGAGACGAAATCTGTATGGCTGCCTTAATCAAGTTCTCCAAAGCATGTGCAGGAAGGAATTCAGAACTTGGTTAAGCACTGAAATGTACTTTTCCCTAGCTTTGTTCTGACAAAAGGTGGAAATATTTTTGGCTGAAATATCTAAGGTCATCCAAAGGTAGCCATTTAATACATAAAATGGTGACTGCCTTTTCTAGTTTAACAATAGTTAAACTAAACTAGTTAAACTAGTGTTAACGATTCTACTCAGTAGTTTTGTCATATTTCTCAGCTACCACATTTCTTAGTTTTGACAGTATCTTACTTAAGGCTTTCCTGCGTATAAAATCTCTACGTGTAGAATTCAGTTTTAAAATAGTGGATAAATTTAGGACCAGCTTACTAAATTAAGAGAATGAGTCCATACAGCAGAAGAAAAAATTAAAATGAAAACGATAGCCTGCCCATCTAAAAAAATGCAAAGCAACCAACATAAACAGGTGAAGAATGCAATTTACCTTACTGTAGATACATCAACAAACTAAAACAGTAAAACCACAACTATCCAGACAAAAAAATGTAAATAACTTTATTTATAATCTATTTTAAAGTTAAACTCACACAAATTGAAGGAGATGTAATCAAGTTGAAGGAGATGTAACCATATGGTAATAGAGGTAGGAGATACATAAATGGTACACAAGCTGCATTTTACCAGTATTACTTTCTGTAGCCCTGAAACAGTGCATGAATCCAAAGCTGCAGACTTAGTTCTTTCTCAGTATGCATGAGTGATTTTACTTTGCATTTGTTACAAAACCGAAAGTGCAACTGAAACAATTTCTAAGCTGAATATTTCATTAGGCGTCTTTATGATCAGTCATAGTGAGAAGAATATACTTCCATGCAAGCAGGTTACAGTTTACAATTTGAGTGCAAAACATTTTCTTCTCTAATAACTATCACTTTTATTTGCTGATGATACAAAACCAATTAGGTGTTAGGTGCATATTCGCTCAGTTGAATGATACGGCAATTGACCTTAAATTAAAGCAGTATTTACAGGGATTGTGGTTTACCCCTTGATGTAGCAGGAGGAAAATTTTTAGTGCAAAATAAAGTGCAGTTATTACACAGGAAAAGATTCCTTCCTCACCCTGTGATTAAGACATATTGCGTGACTCTGTGAAACAATCTAGCCTATTCAAGGCAAAATGGACTTTAGCATAAATGATCCCTCTGTTCCTGCTCGTGGTGGAAAAGCATGTAATGGCAGCTCCTGTTATTGGTTTCACTGTTTTTTTTAGTTGTGCTATAAAGCCTTTTATGCTAATACACAAGAAACAATGTTTACAAGTATTGTGCCAACTGCAGCACATTCCTAGAGGGTTAGCTAATGCCATCAATGTTTTAATAAATATTCTGGTTACATATATGTACTGAAGTAAAACCTAATCATGACAATATTGTAGTATGTGAAAGTTAGCACTCCATAAGCATCATTTCATGAGTAGTTTTCAGATAAGTAACCAATGCTTCATTTCATTTAACCTTGGGGTTAGTTCTCCCAAAAATCCAGTAAGCTATAGGGCTTGTACTTGACAATACAACTTCTACAGCCAGTCTTTGAATATTACTGTATTGTGTAGTTCTTAAGGAACTCTGGAGAAGTTTTTGACACTCCTTCTGTCCTACAGTAGAAAGGTGACTGCATGAAGGTTGCTGTCACAAAGTAAGGATAAATTGAGTATGAGAGAGATTGCAGTGCTGTCCAGTCCACTCTGGATTTATTGGTTCCCCTTATCAAAGTTAGTAAAGCTCACTTTGAGCAGTTGAAAATACAAGAGACAGAACTAAGAGGAACCATAAAGTCTTACAGGAGATACGCCAGGAGCAGTGCTTCTCTGCTGACACAACCCACTACTCCAGGCAATGTACAGTAGTTGTAGCCCACCTACAGCCTGCATTGATATTTCTTGTAAATGGTAGCCTGTCCTATTAACTGCAACTGAACTTAAGTGGCAGTCTTCTTGAGTGGATTAGATTCAGGATCTGAGCTACCTCTGAAAAAAGATCCTGTTGGGGATTTTATTCTTTGACATAAGAAGCTGTTACTTGGAAGTGTATTTAATGTAAAGCGTAAGTATCTTTACAGCCTCAGAAAGGCTGTAAAGCCTCAGAAAGGCAGCTACAGCAACTTACATAGAAAATTATAATAAGCATTTTAATGCTGTGTATAGGCAAGCTCTACTGAATAAAGTCTGAAATGTCTTCAAATTGTTTAAGTTCTTCTATTAAACTTTACCTCTTTATTCAACAGATGGTAATATGGATTTCCTATTTTTGTGTTTTCTCCAGTTCTTTTCACTTCCCCTTGGATCTAGCTGCATTCCACTCCCCACCCCCAACCCCCCCCAAGTTTTAGTAGGGGAAGACTCATACAATAGATGCACAACTAGCATTTGTTAGAGTCAAGTACATGACTTAGCCCCAAATTTTGCATTTGCTTCTACTTGAGGTGCTCTTTTTTTGAGCACAAGATGAATCAGATGTAATGTCTGAGGTTCCAGGAGTTCCTGTGAAGAAATACACATGTATTTCTTCATTTGGGAGTCTGTTGTTACTTCTCCACATACCTTCTCCAGTCTAACTGGCCAGCAGAGATCACTTTGTCTTAGGAATCAAAGGCGGCTCCTCAAATTTGTTTTGATACGCAAAGAGAAGAGTCAGTTGAGAACCTCCCTGGAGTAAAAACCAATGTACCTTATACATAAAGTAGTGTGAACAGTAAGCAGAATAAAAAAAAAGTTAACATAATAAAGATACAGAAAAGCAGTAGTCTCTAAAAGAGTAAGATTAACTGACTAAGAAAAGCCAGGATAGGAACAGAAACACTACAGTGCAAAAATCTTTTAACTTGGCCATATAACTATCACTTAAGATAGGTGTAATGAAACTTAAAAAAAAATTCCTTCATTGTTTAAGCCAGTGAGTTGCCACACAAGGATAGAAAGATAATCCTTCTTTCTAAGGCAGTTATTTTTGGATAAATTTTCAGTACTAGTTATTTGTACAGTCACAGGATCAGTTTTAGCTTCTTACAGTTAAGAATTTTAAGCTTATATTAAATACTGCATACATACAGAATGTGATACAGTTCGCCATGCCTAGGAAAATAGTGCCATAATGCTGACCTCCAGGGCTACCGTGATTTGAGGGTGTACATGGCAGTAGAAAAGCCTAAAACTTCTTAATATTCTTTCCTTTCTCAAGCCAAGTTCCATTTTGGTTTCTGTATATTATCCTACTCAGGATTAGTGTCTTTTTCTCTACAGTTTGTGGTATGCCTTCATATGCAATCGTCTCCCTCCCTCATGCCCAATGAAGTTGAAAAATATTTCATCTTACTAATGATGGCCTCTCCATAGGCTTGAAGAAACAGACTTTTCAAATTAGTTTTAAGTACACGCTATATTCCAACACTTACTTATGTTCATTATAAAAGGATACATCAGATGGGCCTATTGTTTCAATATTTGACAGGGAGTACAGCCATAATGAATTTCACCCTAAGAATAACGTGCCTTTTACAGTAGCATTTCAGAATTAAGCTGTTAAGCAAAATCAGCCCACTACAAAACTCCTCCCCACTCAATAGCCCTGGAGATCAGTCTAATGCACATACTGATAATGACTTGTACTTAGGGATTTTAATAAACCACCTATTTAGTGTATTAATTTTCAGAGGAGTAACTATACATAAACGGTATGTTCCAAGTTATGTGCAATAGATCTGTTTAACAGATTTATTCTAGTCTGCAAACACGCACAAAGAATTTTCTGTCTTTTATTCAAGCAGAAGAGTTACAATGGTGCTTTTGCTACTAACTATGGTATGCATTTTGGGGTTATATACCATTCCAATACACATGCCTCCTTTAAGTCAGGAATGCTCTTCAGTGCTGCCACTGAAAGATCTGCTCCGGACATGATTTCTCAGTTGCTCTATGAGCTCTGGATTCTGCTGCTGTATCTGTTGTGCAAACTGCTGTCCCCTGTGTTGAACAGTTTTAAGTAAAATCAACAAGTGAAAAAAACTGACAAGCAGCTTTTGTAAAACAGGATATCCCTACACAACTGGAAAGTGCAGTATATGAAAGGTAAGACTAAAGATAACTTCCTGCATAGTCTTAATCAAGGTATTTGTAGTATTGTGACTTCATCTAAAGTCTCTCCAAACAGGATTATCATCAGTTCTTCATTTTCACTCTTTAGGACGACTTACTTCAACTTGATAACATGGACAAAAAGGTATTACCTTAACTTCATAAAACTAAAATTTCACAACAAAACCACTCCAGTGATTTGCTCCCTTCCTTTTGAGAGGGTCCATTCTAGTTGTTTAAGAAAACTAATCTTGTAGTTGAAATGCAACCTTATATTAAGTTTTTCCAAAGATACAGCGTGCAGCTGCCAACTTGCACTTGTGAGCAAGATGTCACTAGTAGAAAGCAAACATACAATTACACCTTTTGTCTTACAAGATTTAAGTAATGACAGATCCATCTCCATAACACTTGTAGCTTAAGAGTTAAATTAATAGGTGAGATTAATTCCATGTAAAATATAAGCATAACACTAGTTTACTGCAAAAAGCAAGTAAGTGGAACGTATTACTTCATGAATAGCCTGGCGTGGATTCTCTGTAACTTCTGCATTTTGCCCAAGTAGCAAATTATCAAGAATCCTTTAAGCCACAGTGCAGGCTGAAGGAAAGCAATCATTTTCATAGATCTGAGTGTACTATATGTTTTTTGTGAAAACAGCCCTTGATTTTGTGGGGGCACATTCCTGTCTGTGATGCAAATTATAAATTACTTTTGCCCTGAAGGGGCAAAACTTGAAATAGTTTGAAACAGGCTAGAATGCTGAAATAAAGTAAAATTGTATGCACTTTAAGAGGTCTTGCCATATAAGCAAATGACCTATTTTTGTGTAGACTCTTCCAGATGGATCAGTCTTATACTATAAAATACTTGGGTCCTGGTTTTTGTAAAAGCTACTCCTCATTATACTGAGTTCCCTGAAGCCTTCCTAGCCTAAATGGATGGATGCCAGAGCAGAACTTGTTGCAACCTGTGCTAAGTAAATCTGTAGCTTTTATAACTAGTGTCTGAGATATCAAGTAGTAAGTTTATCAACACAATTTGAAAGCACATGTAGGAGTGTGCACTTAAAGGAGCATTTTTAGTAAGTGGCATTTAGAAAGTAAACAGTGTATGAGAGCCAGAAAGTGAAACTGAGCACACAGTTCAGTCATTCCAGCTGATAGAAATGTATAAAGCAAACAAACAAGATAGTGGAAAGTAAGTCTTCAAGTTCTCAGTTTTAATAATAATCAGGCATACAGTGGGGACAAGCCACAGTATAATTGGCTTCACACTAGTTCTTTTAAATAAATGTTGCACAGTGATGTTTCCACAAATGTAACAGTTAAAACTATGCAATTCTTACTTACGCGTGGATCAGACTGGACAAATCCGACAGGCCACCAACACCTGCAGCAGGGCCACCAATGGCATTTGACATCATCCCTGACATCCTGGAACAGTTAGCACAGTGTTGGCATTGGGGTATGCAGGGACCTTTACAGTTAGCAATAAACCTCAGTTCTTTTTTGAATTGCTGGGAGGAAATAAGCTGCAAGAGGAAGAATCTGCAGTAGTTTTATTTACAGTAAGCAAAATGAAATTACATTTTCAGAAGTACAGTACTATCCTTCTCTCTGACTAATTCAAACCTCTAAAGACATTTGTTTTAATGGTACTCCATTTTAATACTTACAGTTGTTGAACTTGAGGATTCTGCATTAAACTTGCTGCCTAGAATAGACAAGATATAGCTGAAATTATAACACATTTTATACTTAGATATCACTGGGTAATATAGGGGTTGTTTTGTTTTGTTTTGTTTTTTTTATTTCTTCCATCAGTAACAACTCTGATCTAGGTTAGGGGCCCAAAATGAAGGCTAGAAGTAATTCTCAAGGTCAGACAGTGAGTCAATTTTTTTTCTTAAAACAAAAAGCAACACCACAGGGAAATAATTCATTAATTCCTGGCTGCATGCCTTGTGTTCTATCCACTCGACCAGGCATCTTCTGGACATGATGCAAAAGATCCTTTCCTCACAGTTAGCTCCATATTGGAGAATATATCTTTGACTCTAAACAGATGCAGACTGTCTGAGTAAGTCATGTGGCCAGTGGAGTGGTACACAGAGTTCCAGTGCTATTTAATCACTAATGCCATTGGAGAACTTGCTCAACTTCTTCCTTGCGTGCTGTCTCTATTATTTGGACCATAGTACCAGACCAGATGTACTGATCTCTCTTGCATGCAGTGCGTGTCCACACAGAAGCACTGATCGAAATCTCCTCTCCTAATGAAACTGCAGGAGGGGCAGTAAAGTTTTAAAGGAAATAAGTAATTTTTTTCTCAAAGGAAGTAAGTATTTTTTGCATTTTTTTTCCTCCAAATTCAATTCTTCAATGTTAATTAATCACTTAGCTAAGAAAGCCATGCATGGTGAAAAATTACTGAGGGACAAAACCACAATTTGCCATTGTACTGGAAGTAAAGGAATGCACTGTATGTTATTTATGTTCATTGTCTACACATCTCACAAAGTTTTGCACACTTGAGGATGTGAGGGATAATTTGACAGAGTAAGAACAGAAAGGTCTCTTGGGTAGTTCTCCCCAAGCAGAGTTACTTTGGTCTTTGGTAGACTGCATCTTAATCAACTCCTATTCACTTAAGAGGTGATTTCTTTGTATTCATTGTTAACTGCTATATGGAGACTAGAAAATAAATTTTCACCATGATGTTGACAAGTGTTTTACTATCATTCCATCTGTAAGAACAGCATAGCTAACCTATGCACATTGTTGTTCATATGTAAGATAGAATCAACTTGAAATAAGACAGGCATTATTGGAGATTTGCTTCACTTCTTGTTTTAAGTGTAAAATGACTTAGAAAAGTTTAAATTCGGTATAATAAAACCATTGCCATCATAATAAGCATTAAAATTGTTCGTGTTATTAAACAAGAGTTGTTCTTAAAACTTCCGTTTAAAAACAGTATAAAGTAAAGCTTGAAATATACTCACCATACTAATGAAGGCAGGATTGTTTATCAAGCTTGCCATGTCAAAACTCAGTCCAGTTCCAGTCTACAAACAAATTGCAATTGAATATAGGTTTACCTATAAAATCCCAGTTAAAACTACTGTAAATAGATAGATACAGAGCTAACTTACAGGACTGGACATGTCTCTTAGTTTCTGTTCTGCTATTTTCAAATTTGACTTATAAGAGTCATTCTCTGGATCAAGATCCAGTGCTTTTTGGTAACTGGTAACTGCTTCTTCATATTTATTCACTGAGGTCAGAGCCAACCTAATGTGAAATAAAGAAATCCTGGGTAGAACATAAATGACCATCAAAAGATAATGATACATTTTCTGTTCTAAATAAAACAGTATCTCACAAATAATTTTTAGTTTGAGCACTAAGTTAAAGCAAATTTTGCTATTGTGCTGTTACTGCTTAGTGTAAGCACTTGTTTTTGCAGAAGAAATGATCCCTCAAGATCTTATCTTGCACTGTCTGTTCCATATATATGCAAGTTTCATTAAAAACTCCTTGGCATCATCAAGCGATTTAGTTAGTATTTGAAAGCACAAGCTGGATCCAGCAGCCATGACTTTTTGCATAAGCTCAGGAATTCCTCTAAGTGTTTCCTCCAGTCCTTTTGATCTAATAGGTTATTCAGAAGGATACATGGGTAAGTAGAGTGAAGATACTCTTAACACGAGTTCTGCAGCTTGAAGAAACCAAGTACTAGAACCACAAGTTTCAGCATAATAGATTTTTGTCTAAGGATCAGTGGAAGGTTTTCCTTCTGGATCTTCAACAGTTTCACAAATGGGTTATACAGGATAGTAGTAGCATCGTTAAGATGCTGTAAGAAACCCTTATCAGGGAAGTCTGCTTAATGTTTTGAAAAAGATTCTTCTCCAGCAGCTCAGGAGAGCGCAAGGCAGCTCTACTACTTTGAAACAGTATTTGTTTTCAAATTTGATTAGCTACTACATTTAAAACATCATATTTCTTTGAACTACTCCGTAAGTCCATCTGGTTGCAGTTTCAATTCTATCTTCTACTGTATTTTCAGTTTCTACTGACCACAAAACTAACGGGATCTTTTCAACATTTTGTGAAAGACCTGTGTGACCCACATTCAGCCATCTAGTACTCCAGTCGCCCTTTGGTATGTGCTGAGCTACACAGACTGGGTTGATAAGCCTGTACTAAGGCCCACTAATAGACCTTAATCTTTTATCTCAGGGAAGAGAGCTCAGTGTGTTAGATAAATCGCTCACAGTTATTACTCTCAGTGATGATGAACTCAATAACAGTATGAAACTCCAGAAGTTTCCAGTAATGCTCCTGGAGGAACACACAGAATATCAATGTTTTCTCTCTTAACACAGTTACTCCCATAAAAAACATTCTCCCTTTTGGCCCATTAACTTGCCAGAAGAGTTTCAGACCAGACAAGAAATGCAATCCAGTATTCCTGTGATGCAACTGTGTCTTTTTACAGAGAAAGTATACAAAATTCTGCTTCTTGGAACACAGTACAAATCAGAACAGCAAGCAACAGTTTCTTTGTTCACAATTCCTACCCAGACAAGTGCTCTCTCCAGGTCATGCCAGAAGTATCACTTTTAACTGTCTATATGGCTCCCATCTCCACATATTTCTGTGGCACTTCTGCATTTATCAGTATAAAGAGTTTCCATCAAATCCTAAGAAAAACTGATATGCCTGCATAATGCAGTCAGAAATCACAGCTTTCTCAGAAGGACTTCTTGTTGAGAAGGTGGTTTCCACACTTGATTTTTTCAGTTATTACTAAACAAGTACTGTCTCCTCATTCAGCCTATGCCAAATGTATTATTATATCCATCTGCTGAGTTTAGCAATGGCTTACAGCTCAAAATATATCCTCTATCAAAACAACCAGACAATCAAAAAAAGAGTGGCTTGATTGCCCAAGAATGATCCTTCTTACATTGTGTGTCAAAAAACTCATTGGTCTTAACCCAAAACTATAAAATAACTTCCAATTTTCAACTAAATCAGACTGTAGCTCCCCTCCATCTCACTGAAATTGGGGGATCTCAGGTGGTGCTATATGAAGAAACTATCGAAAGGGAGTTAAATAGGACAAAATCAATTCAACAGTCCCTAAAATGTCAAAGTGAATTAATCATCTCAAAAGCCAGTCAGGCTACATTTGTATTGGTGAAATAAACTGTATAATGAAAAGTTTTCGAGTGGTAGAATGACATCATCTTTGATCTTAAATAAATGCCTGCTAGCATGGTTTTGTTCCAGGCCAACAAGCGTTATCCCTGACAATTTTAGGGCATGGTTCAGAATTTAACACAGGCCAACGCAGTTTAGCAATAAGCAGTTTGGATGTGGCCACTCAGTACTGCAAACTTTTAATAACATGGACATGGGGTCATTTTGTGCCAGCTGACCCAATGAACAATCTCAAGCATTTTTTAATTTACTAGTATAGATATAACCTCAAAAGCCTTATGCAGCATTCAGCCCACACCCAAAATGCATGTGATTATTGAAAATGCGAATCTACACAACCTGGAAGAATGGCCCTTCAGTCAAGTAGATATCCCGATTCAGAATAATCCTGACATTTTTTTTATATAGCATTTAATCAGACCCACTGCCTAGAGAGGCTATACTATTAATCTCTCAGACATGACTACAAAAAACTAGCAAAGGGACATAGCTTAATCTTACTAAAATGTTTGTTTCAAAAGAGCTATTGAACAGAAAAACCCCTATTCCTGCCAGTGTGAAGCCCCAATACTTTTAGGATTATATTCTCTTAACAGCATCGTTAATGGATTCACTGTTCCAACTTTTGATTGCTCATAACTAGGTAGGAGGCAGAAAAAACACATCATGACTCTAAACTAAATTTGCAAGGTTGATAAACTGAAAGAAAACAAATGCAAATGGATGAAATCTGATATGAAAATGCTGATATCAACCACATATGTAAAACTTTAGGGTTATCTTCAGAAAAGTGCTATACTTTCAGAACAAGAATGTCAACTCAGTAAAACAACTTAGATTCACTTATTTCAGAAAATCTGTGGTGATTTACACTTGGGTCTTCAGTGTTTACTCAAATTTGTATTAGCTTACCCCATTCTCCCATATGCTTTGCTGTACTTTGGATCTATCGCTATGGCTCTCTCACAGTCTTTTATTGCTTCATTGTAGTTGTTGAGCTTACTTTGAGCAGCAGCCCTAAGAGAAAGATGGGAGGGAAAGGAGAGGACTTTGTCAAAAAAGCAATAAAAGAAAAAAAAAAAAACAAAACATGCTTAGATATTCACATGTCCATGACTAACTTCAGACTTGTTTAATCTTACTGACCTTTCGTTCACAATTTAGGCAATGCCTCAGATTTCCTCAGTTAAGTAGGACAAGCAAATGTTCTGAATTAAGTATGTGCTTAAGTGCATTGCTGGACTAGGGCTTTGGAGAACACACAGCCACCTTTGAGGACACAGAGGATAAATAATTCTAAGGAACTGTTTTAGATCCAGCATATGACTAGGCACTAAATACATAAAACCTATTACAAGAAGGGAAACTCTCAGTTTACATAAAATCAATGTTTAAGCACAAGTATTTTATACAATTGGTGTTTTCCAGCAAGAAGCATAGTTTTACTGCTGTTCAAAGGAATGCTGTGATTTTTCCCTGCTCAGTTTTTTAGCAGGCAACTCATGCTTGCAGGTAAATCAGGATAACATTTCTCATTAATCTCTGAATTACTGAATTAGTTCCATCTCTGTACTAGAGAGATACTAAATGTTGCAGACATTTATAGAATAAGATTAAAGACTTGCCCAAATTAAAAAGGACATTGGAACAGATTAATAATCAAAACTTGCCCAGTTTGAAAGGTCTCAAAGCACTCTGATTTGTTCTTCCTTGATTAAAAAAACTATAGTAGAAATGACAGTATTTCCATTGTGTAAAGCATTCTTCTTTTTTATTAAGAATGCTAAATGCTACAACCATCACTATATTCAATCCTTTCTCCTGTGATAACTTTCAAATTGAATGTTTTTTCTGACTTTGATTAAAATATCTTCTGAATGGGACTACTTATATACTTTAAATACCTAGGCTGCTTAACAGTTGTCCACGTCCACATATGCCAGTGATAAAAGCTGGGGACAATACTTAGTCTCTCATGTGTTTGAAAAGAAAACATTTTTTCCATATTTACAAAAAAATTATATCACCATTTAAAACTTGGAGGGCATCTCAGCTCTCTCTTTTTCCAACTGCTGCGAGTAAAAAGCAATACTGTTGAAGGCAAAACGTCTCCATTGCTCCCAAACTAGCTTAAGAAAGTTAAGAAAAAGGCCCTATATTTATCCAAATACTGCATCACCCACAAAATTCCAAGCAACTGCCTGTTTTCTTTTAAATATCTTCATACAGTACTGGGCTTACTGACATCAAAATTCATTTTGCTTCTCACATACATAATACGTGATGATGTAACATAGACTGAGGTATTTCTACTGTTGCCAATTACAGATCTGGTGCTTAAACCCATTCTACTCAGTGATTTGGGGAGGCTTTTGAATTGGATCTCGCATTTCCATTTTTTCTCTTTATGCTTGCGAAGAAACACTGAATCTTTCACTCATATTTATCACAAACTAAACTCTGGAGTAATGGAAGCACAGCTCCAAAAATAGAAAAATCCACTGGGTACAGTGCCACAAGGCCAGATTGACAGCGCTTAATATATTCTTCTGCTAATGGAGGCACTGAAGAGTGTAGAGCAGAGTGGCACTAGAGGCAGGCTAGTTCCAGTAGGGCTCACAGACTATACTGCCTTTGCTGTTATGCTAGTCTTCTGGGCAGTATAATGAAAGAGCATACTTCGGCTACTGGGTTAACATGCACTTCCAGATTTCATTCTCCACCTCTGCTTTCCTGAGACCCTACCTGGGGTACTGCATCCAGTTCTGCAGTCCTCAGCACCGGAAAGACATCAACCTGTTGAAGCTGGTCCAGAAGAGGCCACAAAAATGATCAGAGGACTGGAACACCTCTGCTATGAGGACAGGCTGAGAGAGTTGGGGTTGTTCAGCCTGGAGAAGGCTCCAGGGAGACCTTGTAGCAGCCTGCCAGTACTTAAAGGGGGCTACAGGAAGGATGGAGAGGGATTCTTTCTCAGAGAGTGTAGTGAAAGGACAAGGGGTAATGGTTTTAAACTGAAAGAGGGCATATTTAGATTAGATATAAGGAAGAAATTCTTTCCTGTGAGGGTGGTGAGGCACTGGCACAGGTTGCCCAGAGAAGCTGTGGCTGCCCCCTGCCTGTTCAAGGCCAGGCTGGACTTTGAGTGACCTGGTCTAGTGGCAGGTGTCCCTGCCCATGGCAGGGGGTTGGGACTAGATGGTCCTTAAGGTCCCTTCCAACCCAACCCATTCTGTGATTCATCTGTTCCCATGTCACTATGTCTTCTCTATGGTGAAGAATAGATTATACAGTGAAATTACAACAGCCTTGTTATTTTTCAACAGGTCATGCATAAAAATGCTGAGTATTTATACAATGCTTGAAATCTCAGGAATGGTACTCCCACACTGATGATATTTTTTGCAGAGAAAGTCAATACTAGGGGAGATAGAGATGACAGCTGAGTCACTAGAACACCAGAAAAAAAAGGTCTTGCTACTCTCAACAGACTGGCAATCACAGCCTACGTTATGATTTAATATAGACAATCTAACTCGGAAAAACCTGATCTCAAATATTACAAGTCATTTTGAAGCCCGTATTACACTTTAATTGATACAGATAAGCTCAATGAGCTAACTTTCGCTTTAGATCTTTTACAAATTCAATATGATAAATTTCTGAATAGTGTTTTTTTCTAGCCTCATATTGTTTTGATCTACTTCCAAATTTATCTGTAAAATAATAAAGTTTGGGAATGAGAAGGGTGTGTGTATTATTTCATTTTTACCTGTTGCAGTAATAGACTGCATTGTTTGGATCCAGTTCTATAGCCCTAGTATAACAATCCACTGCAGCACCATAATTTTCTTCTTTCATATGATTATTACCTGAAATAAATTACAAAAAGCTCTTAAGTAGTTAAAAGATACAGTGCTATGTATTAAAGAAATAGAGCAGCCACATTATAGCATCTATATAAGGTAGTTATGAGATACATTCTTTTAAGTAGAATTGGCATGGGATAATGCAAATAAGAATATCTACTATGTCTGTAAAGTTTATTATCTACATTGTAGTCCAACACATAAACCTCCCCGTTCTCATCTTGCTATTTCCCACTTCCCAGCTAGTTTCTGCTGTTAAGGAAAGATCACTTTGTTGAGAAGTGTAATCATAATTGCAATTGCACTCTAATATAGATTCATCAGTCTTAACTGTCTTTGCAAGCCGCATAATCCAGTAGGCTATATGTTAATTCCCTTTTGGTCTCATTTTCTCACATGTCCCAACAACGTGCTTGTAACTATCCATATAACATGGAAAATCAAATAAAAGCAAAACTAAGCACATAAACCCAACTTTTGTGATGCCACACCATTCATTAAGATAATGAAAGTATGTATGTCACAGGCAATATGAAATGATTCAGAGGTAACACTACCAAAGCTCAGAACTTCTATTCTATAACAAAATTTCATATATCCTATTTTAAAGTTCAGTGAAAAAAATAGAAAAAGACAACTTTTCCGTGGAGAGAAAATTTGCGAGTAAGGTCTTTCAAAACAAAAGGTAGCTTACGCATTCTTTCCAACACAGGGCAGTCCTGGTAGTTTCCTTCTTTCCTGATGACAGAGTAATAGAGAAAAACTCCAGGTTCAGACTGATCAAGCTTAAGGTTGTCCCTGGTCCTGTGACTATGGATCTTTGGCCTGCTAGATCCTATGGAAGCCTTGGTTTCCCAGAAGTGACAAGAAATTGTCAGGAAAATTACAGACTTCCACAGATTTCCTTGTATTTTGGAAAACATTTCAACCCTCTCCCACATTAAGCAAGAGGAGTGATAAATCAACACGTTACAACAGGTGTAGATAACTGTGTAAGCAAAGGCTGGAAAAGTTCAGTCAGTGCAACATTTTGTCTTTGATCGAAAGCAAATGACTGGAGCAAGCAGTCCTAGGTGCCTAAAACAATACTTGCATTTATTTGTGAACATGGAGAGCTTAATAAATAAAACCAGACTTAAGTAACTAAGTATCATCAAAGTATTACAAAATCACCTCTTCCCAACAGTGATATACTAAACAGTAATTATAGTCAGCAATCCCTACCAGTGAGAAGGCAAACTGAAACTATAATTGCCAGTAGACCTTCAAAACATACACAGAATGTAACCATGTCTGTCTCATTTCTACAGGCCCACCACCTACACATCTCTCCTTTGATCTAAGATAAAGGTCTGTACACTAAATCCTGTTGTCAGATAAAAGACTTGCAATTTAGCTGCACTCAACAAGACTGCACTACTTAATTTTTTTCTGAAACAAAACTGCCATCAATGACTATCAAAGTTGGAATTTCTGATACTACTCTGAATTAAAGATGACCTGGGATACAGGGCTAAAGCTAGCATCACTGGGTACCTTTCTTGCTCTCCCTCTCCAGCTCAAAATTGACTAAACGAAAACAGAAAAATTGCTAGACCTACTATTTCTGCTGAGATTAAGCAATTCAGGACAAAAAGAAAAGCAACAGTAATATTTTATCATAATGACAGACAAAAATTCTGAAGTTAAACAACTTGCACAAATGATATGCTTTTAAATGTGTGTCCTCTATAACAATAATAGTATCTATTGTTATAATTTATATTGTGGTAATACCCAGATCTTTTTAGGATCAAGTCACTGTTATACTATGCAAACCTGCACATAATCTGTGGTCTTACATAGCTTACATTAAGCCAAAGTGTTAAATGATAGGCAAGGGTAGGCAAGTAAATTCAAGTATTTACTGGTCTGGATGGTATATTACTTCCTGGTTTTGTAATGACCAACAAACTCAGCTATCTGGATTTGGTTTGCCATTCATTAGCCGATCTCCACAGGTACTAACTAGGGCTTCTTTGAGAGCAGAGAAGGAGCAGGGAGGTGGCCATAAGATGCGGGAAGTTACTCCACTGGGAAGGACATACAGATAGAAATGAAGAAAAAAACAAGAGTTACAGAATTACAGTATTATGAAAGATACGGGTCAAATAGGCTTCCCCAAGTTACCTAATTTATCTCCCTAAGTCAGGGCAGAAAATAGTCATAACTGAAAAGCATAGTAGTGGTGATAGATAATACATGTGTGAAAATGAGGAGCATTAATATGACAGAGCAGCGTTAAAAAACAGGGCATGAAGTTTTAATTTTATTACGGGAAATTAATCAGAGGAATTTCAAGCAGGTCCAAACTGCTTACTAATGCCTCTATAGCTGACACTTTAAAAGGCCCTTTGTCAAAGTTTAGACCCTTTCAATTTTTTCAGTAGGGTCATGGAATTGCTTTAGTAACACCACACAAAGACTAACACTTAGCACACTTTAATTTCACTTCCTCAACCTATTTCACAAATCCCCTGTGGGCTGACAGATGACAAGACATAATTCACATATTTAAAACAGGCATTGCTGTAACACCCACACTTGGAAAGTGCTGAATATCCCTACAGTCCAATAACGATATTGAGTGCTTCAGGTACTCTTTACTTCCCATGAGCTGCCAACAACAGACAGCAAAATGAAAACCCAGAATGCACGATAGGGATGTTACAACTCACACACTAGTTTTCACCTGTGACCTAACCTTGTTTGTTTGAGCTCTTATGCTTAGAATTAAAGAGCTAATGAGCAACCAACAATTACAAAAACTTACTTTCAGAGTCAGTAAGGGACTGCATGCATGACTACAGATGACCAGTTTTAAGATAAGACAGACATGGAACTTGTTCTCAAAGACAGTAGAACTTTTTCCACATCGTTACCCTGAAATTTTAAAGAGGATTACATCTGCCTTGCAATTAGAAACTTTTATTTTTTCTATAAAACTCAAATATCTGAAAATTCAATAGGTTGTTAAGATGTGATTTATAAAGCATCAATCCACCAGGTAACAATTTATATCAGGTATCATGCTACATGCCCATAAATAAAATGGATTCCTTCCTGGGTAGCATTAGTGAAGACTTCTATGGTACAGTTGTTTTTTCCCACATAACAGCAATAACACTTATCAAAGGGAAAATAAATATCTGGCTTTTCTACAGTTCCTACAGAGCACACAAATTACTTCACATATGTGAAATACTAACCCCAGTAAGTTTGCAAGAATTTTTCTGTTGGCTTCAGCTGGGTCAGCTTTTTACCAATGTTTTAATATTTAGCTAGCACATAATCCTTGACATCACGTAACCTTTTCAATATAAATTAGAAACTTGTATAATAAGACCATGGACAAACAGAGAAATCTGTAATATACTGAACAGCAACTATTCATTCTTTAAGGCTTCTACTAGTCAGGAATGTTGCCCAGAACTTCATATGTTATCCCATAGTTTTTAAAGAACCTCCTGAGCAAGGGAGAGAATAGACTATATTTTCTTAAACCCCAGATGGAGCAAATCTCTTAGCCCTCTTAGAACGTAACAATCACCAAAGAATATAAACTTAAGTTTTTGTGGAGGCTGTGTGTATCCATGATAACCCAAAAATCTTAAAAAAGCATAAGATGTTTATTTCTATGTTTATTACAAACCTTCATCCTTCAGCTGGTCAGCCTTTTCAACATCCTCTGGTAAAGAATCTGAGAGAGGCAGCATGTCATTCTGTATGTAAATAAACCAAGATTTTTTTCATTAAAATATAAGCCCTGATTTTATCAAAAACTTCTTTCATCCTGGGCAGCATTGTATCAACAAGCAACCAGATTTTCTGCAGTGCACAGAAGTATGAAAGAACTAAACATCACTACAACATCTTTAGAGGAGAAAACCAGCTTGCTTTCTACTACTAAAAAAACCTTATGGATCATCACAAATTGTAAGGAAGTCAAAGGGAAGAGAGCTGATATTTCTATAAAGTCTTGGTTTTCTTATTTCTCACTCTCCAATTTACCATCCTGGTGTCCTGTACTGGGGATCCCAGATAACACATATTATTAGTATGCATTTTTTAAGTTCTCATTTGAAGTTTAGTGTTCATGGAGATATTTTTAAAACTGAACAAATAAATTATTTCCAGAAGGGAGTGAGAAGCATCAGCAAACTACAAATGACCTCAAGAACTTCACAGACATTTATCTCTGGGAATTGCAAAATGCTTAACTGAAAGATACAATCCTTCAAGTGAGAATGAGACATATACTGTTTAGTAATTTTCTATAAGGAATTGTCCTTGTCTAGCTGAAATTAATTCCTCCCACTGCCAAAAAATATTCTCATTCTGCTAGCTTTTATGGAAATTTTACTTTTTTTTAATATTTTCCTTCAGTTTCCACATCATTTTGATCTATACAGCACTTTAAGGTTGTGTATACAATATGAAATCTTAGCACATATTGGCAGCGTAACTCTAGAATCTAAATTAAATTCTTACCTTGTGAAAAGAATTTGTGAACATTTCTATCAAGTGCTGTGGAGGTGCAAGATGAGTATCTTCCAGGTTAATCTTAAATACAGTCTCCAGACACTGAATTGCCACTGACAAGAAAAAAAATAAAAGTCATCAGTTTCTCAATATAATTTCACTAATTTATTTATAAAACTGTGATTCACCTTCTTATTCAGCCAGTAAAAGCCATTCTTTGGAACATAATGTAAAATAAAGAGAGGCTACCTGATCCCCATAGAACTGACTTGCTGAAAAATAGTGTAAGCTATACAGAATCCATACATAGTTTGGCCATCATTCTTAAACCAATTTAAAATTTTTATTTCAATTATTTCAATAATTTATTCTTTTTTTTAAACATAAAAATATGAGACTTTAACGAAAACACCACAATTCATAATACAACTATGCATGTGTCACACATGCCACCTCAAAACACCACAACTGCCATCTAATTGTGTGTCAAAATAGTTGGAAGAAAATGAGTCATCTTTACTGTAAAGAATAAATGCAAGATATATATTACTCCTTTTTTTTTTTTGAACAAAATATATTCATTTGTAGACACTGTTTATTAATGTTTCATTAATCACAAGCCTTTATCCTATTAAAAAATATATCTGCAGTATCATTTTATATGTCCTGTTGTCTAAAGATTGAAGGGCCCTTCCAAACCTGCAATAATGCAAATACACTCACAATAAGCAATTCTAAAAAAAAAATATTAGAGTGAAATACCTAACTGATGTTTTAAATGCATTCACATATTTTTAGACAGAAGAAGATCAATAGCATTTACTAGATACAATTCTGTATAAATATGTATTCTCTTAATTATGGTATCTCAAATTTTATCATTATTTTCCCTATCATCTTGAGACTTTAGTAGGATGTTTTCATTAAGGTATACCATCTAAATGTTTTAGACTGAAAACTGAGGAGGAACAAAGAGTCTTTGTAAAGCCTAGTTTGAAAACAAAAATTACTTTCTAAACTTGAACTATAGGTAACTAGGAATAGCTGAATTCAAATTAAGTATCAGTAAAAAATGAATCTTAGAATTTAAATTGAATTTCAGGCCAATAAATATAATTTCAATTCTTTTTTGCATTATAATGAACCTGAACACTGACACAAAATTAGAAAAGTAAAATAACTGAAAGTTAATAATGGTAAGGCTACTGTGAGAAGCCTATTTTCTACATCACAGCTGAGAGAAAGTAGACTTGTAAAGTAAATAGTAAAACCTGGAAGATGTCTTTTTTTAAAAAACTCTGATAACACACAATAGAAATTATTTAGAAAGAGTCAATATGATACAAAATCAGTGTTGTTAATATGTAACTATTTTATACACTGCTAAATATGCACGCAATTTGCTCCTGTAACCTATAAATGCTAAAAATGTATAAATTTGCTGGGTTCTAAATGAGCCAGTAACAGTGCTGAAGGATTTGGGTTAAACTCCTTCGTCTCCTGATATGTGGAAAAACTTAATTCTTCTAAAACACTGATTATGCTGAAATCTGAATTGCATATTAATAGTACTTATTACGAGGCCTATTATAAAATCAGTGGAAATACACATCTGTTTTCCTCATATGACTTAATAGAAAGCCACTTGCCACAGTATACTTACCAATTTTCCTTCCCCTCAAACTTGTTTTCACCTAAAGACATTACCTCTCCTGGATGCCACACCTCATCTGTAGTTTTGCATAAACTGAAAACACAATCCCCTCCTTTATCTTTCTCAAGGCATTAAGTCTGTGACACCAACTCTCTATTAAACAGATTTTTGCAAAGCACAACAATGCAAATTATGCTTAAACAAAATAATCCTGAATATAGCATTATTACTAGTAAGCATTTCTGAAATAATCAGTTGTTACAGTGAACTCTCACATTTTTCCTTTAACTAAAAAAACAGAATTTATAATCCCTCTATCACAGGTATAACAAAATTAGGAGCTCTTGCGGGATAAATCCATAGGTTAGAATAATAACCACTGGTTAACATGTAAGCCAATGATGGAAACCTATGTCAAAATAAACAGCCAAAACAGAAACTTTGCCAAATCAGAAGATGTAGTATTTTACAACAAGATCGGTAACTACCCTGTCTTAATGTGCCATAAAAACCTGACCCCAGTAAAGTCAAAGGAGTGAAGACTTGGTTTTGTCTGGAAAGTATCTCAAGAGACTAGACCACCAGCATCTCACTATCCCATTATCAAAGGGAGGCACTGTCAGCTGCCGCAAGCTCAACATCATCAGTAAAGTGGGAGAGACTTGCTGCACCACGTGAGCTATTAATCTAAGATTTTTCCCACGTCTGATTTCAAAGGCCAAAGTTACCTGTTCTCTCCATTTGCTCCATCATTACACGCACTGTCAGAGGCCTAAGCAGTTGCTGAAGCTTGTACCAACCACCTCACAAACTCGTACAGATACCTCCCCCTCCCTGCTGAACAGCAGGGGCTCACACAGACACCTACTTCCCGACAACAGGAGCCCCTGGGCTATACTGGAGCCCAGCTCAGCATCCCCAACGACACACAGCTCCAGGATTTTTTGCTGTGCAAGCACAAGTTGAAAGCAACATCAAGACATCACAGCAGACATAGAGGCTGTTGGTCACTGAATAATGAATATTAATTGGGCTGCTGAGGCCCCTTTAATACTCAGTATCATCTTGCTTCATCTTACACACACCCTTCCCCATCTCAAGTACTGCATGCACCCCTGGCCTTAAGGGGTGCATTCCACTGTTTTGGAAACACTGCCCTAGATAAATTCATTGTGGTACACTGATCTTAGAAGTAAGGGAAAAAAAAAAAAAAAAAATCACAGCCTTGTGCACATTGTAGAGTTTCAGCTTTAATCCCACAGAAATAAGTGCTACAGACAAGAAAAAAAAAAAAAACAAAACAAACAAAACAATAGAAACTTTAAACAGGAAAGAGAAATAACTGCCATTTAAACACACTGTCTAAAATACAACTTGGAAAAAGTGGTATTTCTAGTTCATACAACAGAACTGAGTATTAACCACCAAAGATCTGCATCACTGCTCTAGACCCTAGGTTGCAAGGGAGTATATTTTTCCGTTCTACCTTTCAATCACTCTGCTTTCTCAAAATAAGGCATTTTTATTCATCATGCAAATGCAAAATTCCTAGAGGAAATTTACACTATCACTGTCATCACTATATAATTCAAACATGTAGAATACAGGTTACCAATATATATAGAACGTGAATATATGCTAGGCTTCTGTTTTGATAAAGTCTCGTCTCAGTTTTATTTGTAATTTTTGTAGCTCTTTTTGTTCTTCTGTGGGAAATGGGAACTGTTTAAATTACTTCCTGGCAGAGACACTTAATCATACAGTGTTTTATCTTTTCAATAGACTCCAAGTAGGTACATAAGTTATCAGTGAAAAACATCAGTCAAATTTTTTCATCCCTTATGCCTCCACCTAACACTAAATACTTTAAGGGGTGAGACCTGGGCTATTGCTACTCCACAAGCGCTAAATATATTTTGTACAACTGAGTCAATTATTCAGAATGCCCGCCTCCTATCCTCTAACACATAGCATATGGTACCATGCTTTTGGCAGGGTACAGCTCTAAAATTAGGATTTCATATATGTATTTAAATGGTAAATTTTACATCAGCATTTAAGCACAACTGAGGTCTTATAATATTTTCTGTTCAGAAAACAGAATCTTAGAATTGATTCCTTCATATAACACTGGCTAAGGCAGCTCTAAGACATGGTATCAGGTAAATTTTCCATCATAACCCAATGTTTGTCAGTTTAGTTATCAAAAACAAAAGGAATACTCTTCATCTCTCATTACATGATTTTCAGAAACATTCTTTTCTTTCATCAGCTGAACACCATCTCAACCTGATATAGGTTAAATTCATAGATGACTACCACTTTTCAAATATACAAACTGCTCCAGATTCTGATGTAAAACCCAATCTTCTGGCTTTTACTCTCCTGGGAGTATCCTTTGAAAAGCATGACACATATGTTTCTTTCTTGCTTACATTAGTGAGAAATTACACTGTAAAACAAACAGACACAGGAGGGAGGAACACTCCAGGTTTATCTTTTTAAGTTTATGCCTCTGAGAAGCAGGACTGTCTTTGCACCTCAAGGAAGTCTACACTCCACATCTCATATTTCAGGTAACTCAGTGACCAACTGCCTGGATGCTGGTCCTAGACTTCCCCCTCTTACCTCCAAATTCCTCCTCTGGTTGAGTGATACAACCAAAGGCTGCTTGAAGCAGTGCAGGTGTCTTTTACATAGACGCTATGAAAAGCTCATTGCAGAATTAAGACTTTTTGTTCTTCTCTTGCTTAATTCCACATTGTGCTTCCACTTGCCATGAAGTTTCCAGGAATTACAGAAAAGGAATAAAAGCAGTATGAAGGAGAAAGACAACATGCTATGAAGTTGCAAAGACTTAATGAATGTCGGTCAACAGAGGAATGCACACCAAAGTCCACCCTTCTGTAGCTATGTCTACAGAGAGATGGACTTCGATGTGTAATAGAAACTATACCATACTGAAAATAGTCACTACCATGCACTCTTTGGAATCACTACTCAAGGGAAAAAGAAATGCAAAGTATTTATTTTATTTTCCATATTTTTAGGATCTTTTAGCCTTCCCTCATAAATTACATGGAATTCTTGCAAGTATGAAACAGGAGTTCTTCCCATACATGAAAACCAATATATGGTAATTGTTTTACTTCCTCTGTGGTCAGCACGGCTACTATCACACACAAAATGCAGAAAGAAACCAAACTTAAAAGTATATAAAAATATAAAAAGAATCAGCAGGCAAAAAATCTGTGGAACACATACACAAATCGTTACCACAGTCTGCATTATATCACTGCTTAACCAGATGTGATTTGAAGTATCCGTTGCTCAAAATTAAGGTAGTATACATTTTGTAACTTTAGAACATTTTTTTAAATGAGAGATGTTTTAAAATTAATAATCTTGGAAACCTTAAGATCATGATCTTATTCACAGATAATATTTGGTGGCAGTTTCAGTTAGGTCACTCGTTACTTTCTTTGATAATATACATCAAGTAATTTAACACACGGATAGGTATTATACATACACACACACATATATATATTAGCACCTTTATCACTTACCTTCCAAGCTTTCTTGTTCATCTGGTGTGAATGTATCCATCTGACTCTGCTCTCTCAAGAAATGGATGACTGCATAAACCAAGCGTTTGACTGATGACATTTTGAAAGCGATGAGTTTCTCCTATATGTCTTAAAAACAACAGGATCTCTTATTTCAGAAGAATTAATTCCTAGAGTATTCCAATCTCCCATTGATGTGAGCAAGGATTTTACACAATATACAAAAATTTACTCTTCACCAGAAAGCCCAGTAAAGCGATGCCTTGAAACAAGTGGTTAAATTGTATGGATTAGGGAGAACTCCTACAATCATTCAGTGTAACTATAAGCAAAAGAGCACAGATTTCCTCAGATTCATTCCTGTGGGAGAATTCACTGAGGCTAAAATGATTTAGCAACTTATTTTTATTTTTGCATAGTTTGGATTTTATTTCCAAGACATATGCACTTGGAAGCAGGAGCACATGATGAAGTCAGAATCAAATAAAAAGCCACACTGATAAATATAATGACATAACGAACGAGAATTTAATAGAAGGTATTCTATTCTCTGACACTGTGCTTCTGAATGGTTTATATTCACTTTGGACAAAAAACTGGAACACTGTGACCTTAGTGCACACTTGCGATTAGTGACACTACTGGCTCAGCCTGATCTGCATTCAGCACCAGCTAGGAGTTACATAGCTTTGAGGAAAATTTTAGTCCCAACTTTCCAAGTTATTTTTCCTTAAACCATTTCGATTTAAAGGGGCACAACCTTATCCAGTTCGCCGGGGGAAGCAGGTTAAAAACGGAGCGTTAAATGAACGGCAAGGCCGGGGCGAACCCTCGCGACGCTATTTTCTCGCCGCGACCCCCGAGCGAGCCGATGAGCAGCCCAACCCACGCCGAGCACCCGCGGCCGCGGGGCGGGGAGGGGGGGAAGGCGGCTCCTCGGCGGAGGGGCGCCCTCCGCGGGTGCGCAGCTCCCCGCACGGCCGGGCCGCGGGAGCGCCCGCCGCCCTGTCCCGCCCCTCGGCCGCCCCACCGGCCGGGCAGCTGTGGGGGGGTCCCGCGATCCCCGCCCCGCCGCCCACCTCCCGGGGTCCCGCGGCAGGCCCGGGGCCGCCCGCTCAGGCCCGGGGCCGCCCGCTCAGGCCCGGAGGGCAGCCCCAGCCCCACCACCCCCTCAGCACCGCGGAGACAGCGGCCGCGCCGCCCGGCCCCTCCCGCCGCCTCGGGCCCACTGAACGCCCGGACGGGGGCCCGGTCTGCCCCACGTCCGCGGGCTCCGGGGATGAGGGTCTGCGGGGGGGGCGGCGCGCAACCTGCCCGCCCCCGCGGGGCTGCGCTCGCCGCGGAGACGGGGCAGCGCCCTTACCCTTGCGAGGCGCGGCGAGCCCCGCGATGAACGCCGGTGCCGGTCCCTCTCAGTGCCGCCGCCGGGTGGGAGAGGCGAGGGCCGCGAGGGCGGGCGCGCCGCCGCCGCCGCGGCGGGGGGAGGAGGGAGGAGGAGCTGAGGGCAGAAAGCGGAGCGGGGGGGTGCGCGCGGTCCCGCTCGGCAGCGGCGGGAAGGGCGTGAGGGGGCGGCGCCGGAAGCCGACGCGCAGGTCGGCGGCGCGGGGCTGAGGGCTGGGGGCTGCGCCCGCGGCCGGCGAGAGGGCGGGACGGCAGCGGGGGCGACCCTTCCTCCGCCGCCCCATGCTGGCCCTGTGCGCGGGCGCGGCTCGCAGGTAGGCGCGGCGGGGACCCGTTCTCGCCGCGGAGCTGAGGAGTTGCTGTTGGGGAGGGGAGGACGGCTGACGGCCGCGCCGGCCGGCTTCGGTGCGGGGTCGCCTGGGTTGGAAGCCGCCAGAGCTCCGAGCCGCCCGTGGGTGACGGGGAGCCGGGCCCGGTCTGCGGGCGGGCGGCCTGGCTGAGCCCCCCCGCGGCCCAGGGGGGGTGGGCGGGCTGAGGGTGTGCGGGGCGAGCCCCGAGGGGCCAGGCAGGCAGTAGGGCGGGGAACTCGACAGCCGTTGTGTCGGGCTTACTGCCCCCGCTCCTGGCGCGTTGCCCGCAGTCCGCCTGTCCCTGAAATAACCGCCGTTATGTCCAGGTGGGCAGCGCGGGTGAGGTGAGGTTCTCCGCCTTGTAATTCTTACACCGAGTGTCAGGCGGACTGCAGGAGAAATGGGCAGGAAGACAATAGAGCGAGGGGTAAGGCTGTGACAGTGGGGCTCTGCATCAAGGTGTATGTGGAGCGAGCCCAGGCAAAGGTGTTCTAACAGCCTTACAAAAGAGGTGTGGCACTATTTCACGTTATATGAGGGGTGAGATGGGTATAGATGTTATTATCGAAGGGTCTTCAAATAAGGGATTCGTTATTATCTCTGTAACGAACGCTAGCCCTAAATGGACCCAGAAGACGAGTGTGGAAGAAGGCTTGTAGGTGTTTCTAGATGGACTAGACAAATGAGCGTCATTGGAGAAACCAAGAGGGCAAGAGGATATAAGCAAAGGACCAAATTCAATACGAAAACATGGAAATAGTAGGAGGGTCACAACGTAAATACGCTGTGATAATGAGAATGGAGCAGAATTTGAGTGTAAATGAAGATGGTTACCTCTTGTGGATTTTTGAGAAATTACAGTTGTGTGCTTACTGCATAAAACGTACCATTTTTGTCTTATTCCACAGCCTTTGTTTAGGTCGAGTTAGGATTGAGGGGTACTAGCAGTTAGAAAATAAGATCCAGAATCTTTTATTTTCATAAGGTGCCTGATGTGGTAAATTAATTGATCAAATTACTGTTGTTGAATAAAGTGCACAACTATTTTCTTTCCCTAATATACAATTACATTCTTTTTTGTATAGTCATTTTCACTGTTCTCCATATTTTGTGTTGGCCGTCCTTGTTTGTCCTACAGATTTTTCCAACAAAAAGAAGGAAAGGAAAGAAATGAAAAGAAGGATGGAAGGCTTTTTTTCTTGAGAAAAAATTTAAAAGTTCAATGTTTGTTTGCAATTTGCATTTGGAAACTAAAGATACCTCATTCTTAAGAAATGATAATTAATTATTGGGTATTGATTTAAATAATTTTTTTTATCAGTTATTGTAAGTACAGCAGGGAATGGTCACTTCACTTCCTTAATTGTAATTTTTTTTCCCCCTATTTGTCATTTGAGCACGCCCAAATAATTGTTTCACAGAAGAGAGGGATCTTGAATGCTTAATAATGACCTCTAACTTTCAAAAGTTAAGCACTTGGTCACAGAAACGTTGAATGGCAAAGATTCTCAGCTTTTATTTTTCCCAAGGGCATTTTTCCCTCTGCTTCGCAGACTGCACAACCTCCTCAGTGTACTGCAGCAGCAAATTTTTCCTGTGGTCAAAAGCAACAACTGCCACCTTTCTAACCACAGTAGGCTCCAGAAAAACAATTTGTCTGTTGGACAGAGTTCACGGAACAAAATTGTCCACTGGACTGGCTGAGACAAAGATGTCAGGCTCAGAAGCATTTTGTGGACTGAATTTGACCCATGGAGCACCAGTTGGGCCACACTAAGCGATGCAAGTAATGTCTTTTGAGGACATACCTGTTCTATAATTCTCTCTATAAAGGAAGAAATACCTGGCTATGAAAGATCTATTTGAAATGGTTTGGGTTAGTTCAAAAGTCCTTCTACAGGAGCCAGGGTCAAGTACCTTGGAAAGCATGTAAGATAGGATGAACATTCAGTCCTGTCTTTTAAGGACAGTCTAAGAATTGGGGTCTTCCCAACACAAAAACAGTTGTTTCATATGATCTTGTACAAATATTTGTACAGTAATACCTTTTTACGTTGAAACTCCCTCCTAAAACTGTCTTTGATCTCTTCCTGATTTATGTCAGAGGAAAAAATTCTCTCCATCCTCTTCATGATTGTATAAATCTCTGAGGTACTTCCTCTGGTGTCCTTCCCCCCCTCTCTCTATTCTGAAGAATCTGAGTCTAATTAGTTGTTATTTGAATGGAGTCCATTGCTCACTGCAGCTGATTGTTACTCATTATGACTTGGTACAACAGGAAAAGGTTTTGGCAGGTGGGAGAACAGAGGATGAGAGAGTTTATAACTGCTGGGAGTATCAGAACTGCACGTAATAGGTGTGTGCTTCATGGTCTTACAGGGTGGCATGATGAATCTTGGTGTTTTGTGCTCTGTCCCACCTCTACTAAATGCTCTCATTTCCTTCTTTTCAGCTACTTCTTGGCTGTTGTTTTCATTAAACTGTTATGTCTCCAGAATTATTAGATCAGCTCGCAGCTCATCACTGTGTATATAAAGTCAGAAGTATGTGTCACTTCACATTTATTGTCCAGACTTCACTTTTTTTAGTGGTTTTAAACTTTACTTGGTATTGTGACATTCTTTCATTATCATCATTAAATTTTGCCACTACATTAATCCCACCTTTTTGTAGATGAGGTATAAATATGTGGAAGGATACAGAACCCAGCATGGAACCCTGCAGGGCTCCACTGGTCACTTAGTTTCATGAAGAAAAATGACTAGCCATTTCTGTTTATTTCTTAGCTTTTAACCATTTATCCATACGAGGATCTCCTTTCTTCTCACATCAGCTTGGTTTACTTAGGACCTTCTGGTCAACAGTCTTTAGAAATCAAATAGATATTAACTGATCTCTACCTATTGCGGCTTCTTCAAAGAATTCCAACAGATTTGTGAGTCAAGATTTTCCCTGTAGAGGAGACTCTTTTCCGGTACATATTACATGTATTTGGGTTAGGGAAGGCAAGGTTGAGGATGCGGGGAATTACACTTGTCTCTGAGTAAAATAAAACTGGGGGTGTGTGTTCATCGTAACGTCTCTAAGAGAGTTCCATCTTTAACAGAGACACTTTTTATTTCTATTGTGGAGAGTGAAGTGTTTGGCCATACTTATCAAGCTGGAGCAATATTTTCATAGCCTGGAACCAGCCTGGGAAGCACTCAGTGTTATTAAGTCACTATTCTCTCAAAAGCCAGAGCAGAAAGCAGGCTTCATTTGCTTGCCTCATTAGTGGTGGTGAGCAGGCATGCAGTAGTACAGAGCACTGTCTGGGATTTTGCAAGCATTGAAACAATCACGACATGCTCTAACGCACTGTCTTCCAAAGAAGAACAGTGACTTAAAATGGTGCAAGTGATCAAGATTAGGTCATCATCTGTCACACAGGCATAGAGTTTTTCAAGTAACTAGTGATGGCAAAGAACACTCCTCATTGCTTTGACTGTATGAGACTTAAGATCAATGGGAAATCAAAGGGTAATTCCACAGTACAGGCTGAACTGATTAACTGTGGGTGTAAATCAAAGAAACCCTTTGAGTTTAATCTAATCCTCCTCAATAGCTTTCTCTGTCCTGCAGCATCACTTCTTTTTTAGCTGGAGTCAACAAGCAGTTTTTCGTGCATTAGCTGATTGCATGCAAGTACTGAACAGTAATAGTGTGTGGTGTTTGCATGAAATAGCATGCACTTCACCTGCTGTTTTTACTGCTGGCAGGATAAACATGATAGATGCTTATTCAGCAGCACCAGAGAGAGTTATAGAGCCTTAAAAGCCATATTTTTCCTGCTGTGTTTCTACGGTTCACCTGATGGTAGAGCCAAACAATACAATTACCTTAATGAGCACCTCCTGCATCAAATTCATTGTAATACACTTACTGTCTGCATATGATTGTTGAAAAGTCTGTTAACTTCCTTCCTAAGATCCTCGAAGCACGTTGTGCTGTGATGGAGGTTTGCTGTAGCACAGAATGGGTTTGAAGCCTGCTTCAGCAGTTCTCGTAATTTGGAGGTTTGGTTTGGGTTTCTTTGTTTTGTTTTGTTTTTTCCTAGAACCATGTATACCATAATTTTAGAGATCAGACACTCTGCAGAAACAGTACCCCAGCACCTCTGTGTGTTCCACTCCTGACAACTGTGTGGAAATCACCTCCTCTTATGAAAGTCAATTAGACCAGTTTCCAAATTCATTTTGTTTAAAGACTGTTGCAGGGGGCTGGGGCAAAAGGGAGACGATGTACGTAAATTGTGACATGCACACATGCTTGTATGAGTTCCTACTTAAGGTCTAGATTTTCTGGTAGTTGCCACAGAGTGCCTTTTTTTAATTACTTTGCTGTTAATGTTAATTCTGTCAGCGAAACCAGTAATCATTTGTTGCCATATAGTAAGGTCATAAAAGCAGCACTGACGTTATTGATATAATATGACATTATTGATATAATGTTTATATCAATAATTTTAAAATGTTTGTATAACTTGTGGCTTTTTTGACTCGTATTGATCTTGAGGAGCTAAAAGTGTATCTATTATAGGAGTATAATCAATGTAGAGCCTACAGTGAATTAAGTTGCAGAGAATCCTTTTTTTTCTGAGGTGTAGTGACAAATTAATAGTTTAATGTTAAAAGATGCTAGATTTTCTTCTATTCCTTCAAATGCAGCTTGGGGAAAAAACCTCAATTTCTAATGGCAGT